TCAGAACAACAATTTGTGGGTCACACAAAGTGTTGTTCTGATTAGCGCAGTAGGAAGCGGCAAGGAGACCGCTCATACCACTACGTCATCCGTGCAGTCAACATTGTATTGTATTGTATTTAATCCTTTATATATACAAATTTACACATTATATCTAATGTGTATAATACTCTCCATACAAATTGCAATTTGGTATTGAATTTATCCTTGAATAGAATAAATTCTATACCATTGAAACTTTAGAAACAATATTGTTCTTAATAAATATAATCACAATGCAGTTCTGAAACATGTTTCCTGTTGGTTAATCGCTATAAATTATTTATATTTGCCATCAACAACAACAAACTTTTCTCCTATACATTTACTGAATGCGTAGTTGTTAGTATACATCGTCATCATCATCATCATCAACAGCCTTCAATAGTCCACTGCTGGACATAGACCTCTTCTTGGATAGAAGGGTTTGGCCTACTATACCACCGTGTGGTGACTGATTAAGAATACAAAGTGTCACCACCCCTATTCATCCCGTGGGTGTCGTAAGAGGCGACTAAGGGAGCGAACTACGCAGGACAACAGCACTGCAGAGAGAAGGAAAACTTTACACAAACCCTATACCAACCCGTCTGTCCAGCGTGGTATAATAGGCCAAAACCTCCTTTCTAAGGAGAGGCCTATGTCCAGCAGTGGACTGTTAAAGGCTGTTGATGTGATACCACGCTGGCCAGACGGGTTGGTATAGACGGACTAATATACATGTCTTGGAATTAGTTTACGAGAATACTAGTACGACTTCGCTAGCCCCTAATTTTTTTTTGGATGCAATAACAGTAAATTTATTTCTGAAAGAAAGAATTTATTTTCTATTCTCACAGAGGCAAGTAACAAATAGTACATACAAGTAATAAAAGAGAATATTTGAGCCAGAAATGGTCGTTAGCTCACCATTATTGTCCTATTTCTGGATGAACGATTCTTATTTATTATTACGACCACCTCGCAATGTGTATGCAAAATTATATAACGACCAATGACAAAATATACTATTTAATAATAATAATAATATACGTCACACATTTCACACACGGCCGTCTGATCCCAAACAAGGCAGAGCCTGTGCTATGGTGACCAGACTGCTGATAAACATACTTATATATTTTTAAATACATACATATTATAGATAAATTACACCCAGACACCAAACAAATGATCATGCTCATCACGCAATATTTGTCTTGGGTGGGAATCGAACCCACGACCTCCGGTCAACAGGCCCGTCAAGTCCCTCTAAGTAATAGAAATAGGAATAAAAGTTTTAAGGTCGGAAGTTTTAGATTGACGCGAGTGTAGCCACAGGTAAATAGTAACAGATATATGAAAGGTGGGTTGACTCATTAGCGGATAAATATCCGAGCAGGAGGAGGAGTAGGGTGGTGAATCACTGCAATTTGTCAGTTGCCTCTTAAGATGTAAATATTGAAATACCTAACAATCCTCTTTCATTGAAGATTTTAGATTTTACTCCCGTCCGTGTAGTGGCGGATTAAGAATACGGTAAATAAACGGAAATATGTCACTACTCCAATTCATTCCGTGGGTGTCGTAAGAGCCGACTAAGGGCGCAAAACAACGCAGGACACCAGCACTGCAAAAAAAAGGAACACTTGACACAAACCCTTTTTTTTTTTTTTTTTACGTGTGGAAATCCCCTCGGACCGTCACCCCGCCGGGGCTCTCGTTCGGCGGGGTGGTGTGTCGGACTCGAACCGACTAAAACCACACGGTGTGCCCTCTTTGCGCTTTTAGTGTAGGAGGGGTCCAGGTAGCTATCTCCTTCTGGACCCCTCCCAGCGCCGGCCCGCTCCTGGTGCGGGCTCCGTCTCAGTGGACCCTCTCTTTAGGCGACGTCCGGCACACGCGGACGCCGCCCCCTCGCGGCTGGCCAACTAATGCGGGTGGAGGGGAGAACCCATCCCGTCCACCCGCGGCCACACTCAGGGCGGCATGAGGCGCAGGTAGGCGCGCCTCCGCCGCCCGGTTCGCCGGCGGCGGATCAGGTCCGAGTGGAGGTCATCCTCCCGGGCCTTCTCCGCCGCCTCCTTCTGCGAGATTACCTCCTCGCAGAAGGTTGCGACCGCGGTAAAACAACTGTCGCTACCGGCCATGGAGCGAATTACGGCCGGTAGCGAGAGATCTGCTCCGATGACTGCAGTGAGGGCCCGGCGCTGCGTCGCCCATTCGGGGCAAACCGCCAGCGTGTGCTGGGCCGAATCCTCACCGCAGTCGCAGTGGTGGCAGGCGGGACTCGATTCCCTCCTAGCGACCGAGTACAGGTACTTTCCGAAGCAACCGTGCCCGGAAAGCACCTGCGTCAGCCGGAAGGAAAGGGTCCCGTGCTGCCGCCCTGCCCACTCGGCGATGACCGGCTGGAGAGCCTCCACGGCGGCGAAGCCAGCGCGTGGAGTCTCCAGCCGGAACGACCATCTCACCATAGTGGCTCGGCGAGCGGCTTCGCGCCACTCGCGCACGTCTTCGGGCGGAGGGCGAAATCCGCTCTCCGCCCGGAAGTCAGCCACTCGCCGATAAACTTCGGCGAGCACCTCCGCCTCCAAATCCCACGGGGGTGTTCCGGCCAAGGCGCAAGCCGCCTCGGTGGACACCGTGCGGTATCCGCGTATGGCTCTGACCGCCAATATCCTCTGGGGGCGCCAGAGGCGCGCCCTATTCGGGGCGGTCAGAGCCGCCACCCACACCGGTGCACCATAAAGCGCCATGGACCGGACAACCCCCGCGTACAGCCGCCTCGTGGGAACACTGGCCCCGCCCAAATTGGGCAAAAGTCGCCCTAGGGCGGAGGCAGTGTCCACCAGCTTCGGACCAAGCTGTCGGAAGTGCTCGTCGAAGAGCCACCTACCGTCTAGGACCAGACCCAGGTACCTCATCTGGGCCCGGACCGGTACGAGGACCGAGCCGACCTCTATTGAGGCGCCGGCGGGCGGACCACGACGGGGCCCATGAAATAATAGGGCCTCCGTCTTATCCAGGGCCACCCGCAAACCCAACGCCTCAATGCGCCCGACCACCAGGGAAACTCCCGTGGCGGCCAGGCGCGCCGCCTCCTGGAAGTTAGCCCCCCGGGCCGTGAGCAAGGTGTCATCCGCGTAGCAGATTACACCCAGCCCGGGGGGGAGACGCCCTCGTAGGGCCCAGTCGTACCCGATGTTCCACAGGAGAGGTCCTAGGACAGACCCCTGCGGAACACCGCACGACATGGCCCTGCGTCTCAAGACGCCATCTCGGTCCTCGTACATGACGGTTCGCTCCTCAAGATAGTCTGCCACCAGCCGCCTCAGGTACTCCGGCACTCCGTGGTAGCGGAGCGCTTCCCTGACGCAGCTGAATGGCAGACTATTGAAGGCGTTGGCGATGTCCAAGGACACCGCCAACACCACTCCGCCGCAGCTCACGGCCTCCTCGGTCACGGCCCTAAGGCGCATTACGGCATCGATCGTCGAACGCCCCTCTCGGAAACCGAATTGGGCGTCCGACAGATCGGGGCCAACCTCGCAAAGGTGCCGGACGATGCGGGCAGAGAGCACCCTCTCAAAAAGTTTACCCGCCTCGTCCAGCAACACGATAGGCCTATAGGCCGCGACCGATTCGGCAGGCCGTCCCGGCTTCTGCAGCAGGACCAGCTTCCCGCATTTCCAGCGCTCAGGGAAGCGTCCGGACGCCAGGCTAGCGTCTAACACTTCCCTGAGGTGGTCCGACATGTAGTCGAGGGCTCGGGCCATCACTCGGGCTGGAACCCCGTCCGGCCCGGGGGCAGTGTTCTTGGATCTAATCCGTAGAACAGCCGCCCCCAACTCCGATTCCCTGACGGGCGGAACGTCAACCTCGCTGCCCCCGTCGTCTCCGGCCGATGCAGCCATCGACGGGGGTGTGTGCTCCGCCCGCTGCGGGAATAGGCCCTCGACCACTCCCTGCAGGAAGCTGGGCTGGAGAGTCTCCGTAAGGGGGGGGCCCGACGTGCGGAGCTTTTGACGCACCGCACGATAAGGGCGAACCCAGGGGTCACGCTCGAGACTCTCCAGCATCTCCTCTCTACATGCATCCTTGGCGCGGCAGATGGCCAGCCTCAGAGTTTTCCGAGCTTCTCGGTACTCCTCATGAAGCCGGTCCACCTCCTCACCGACCCCGCGGTGACGTCGCCGACTACGGGTGAGGGACCTCCGGGCACGTACACAGGCCGCACGGAGGTCCGCCAACTCCTGGGACTTGACACAAACCCTATACCAACCCGTCTGGCCAGTGTGGTATAGTAGGCCAAAACCTCCTTTCTAAGGAAAGCCTATGTCCAGAAGTGGACTATTAAAGGCTGTTGATGTGATGATGTGAGATTTTACTAACGTGTATTCCGGGGATACTCGACTAGTTGTGGACCCGACGGGGACTTTAAGGAGCATTCTGTCACCCTGTGGGTAAAGCAGGATACCTTTAATAAATGTAAATCGTGAGTGATTCACGAAAGGTTACTTACTAGCCTCATATTAAAATTGTTTTTAATTATTTTTCCTATTAAAAATATTATTGACGGGCCTGTTGGTCTAGCGGTTTGTGACCCTGACTGCTAAGTCGGAGGTCGAAGGTTCGATCCCCAACCAGGACAAAATTATGTCTGGATGTCATTTTTCAATTTTGTAATCTTTAATATGTATGTATTTAAATACACGGTGTAAGGGACGTCGTAACGAATACTGAAATAGTGTATTCAGACTCATTCTGAGTCGAAAATCATTGGAATTTTCTGCCGGATAGTATATGAGTATAATAGCCGGATAGTGTATATAGTATATAATGCCGGATATAAACTGATAAACGTATCAGCAGGCTGGTTACCATAGCTGCTATGGTAACCATGATCATGATATGCACGTGCATGAATCACATGAGCAGTAACGACAAATGTATGTATCACACTTCTATAAATGTTCCAGGACGACGTATGCTACGTGGTAGCTAAATACGACTACGCGGCGCAGGGTGCCCAGGAGTTAGACCTTCGTAAGAACGAGCGGTATTTACTCTTGGACGACTCGAAGCACTGGTGGCGCGTGCAAAACGCGCGCAGCCAATCTGGATACGTACCCAGTAATTACGTTAAGAAAGAAAAGCCTTCGCTCTTTGACAGGTGAGACATATCAATAAAAAATTTATATAAATAAAAATGAATCGCATCGTTTGTTGCTAAGCGCAAAAATTGAAAACGGCTCAACCAATTCTTCTATATTTTAAGGAAGGTTCTTATGGAGAGAAAAAACGTAAAAATTGGGAGGAAAATAGTAAAAATAACACTTTTCTATCAACATTTGGTGTCAATCAAAACAAAGGCGCGTTAGGATTATCTTTGGTATGCCTTCAAGTTGGTTAGAGTGTATGGATATTAATTTATACCTGCCCAAAATAAAGTTCAAATAAAATTGATAACCACTATTCTTCGGACTTTATCTATACTAATATTATAAAGCTGAAAGGTTTGTTTGTTTGTTTGAACGCGCTAATCTCAGGAACTACTGGTCCGATTTGAAAAATTATTTCAGTGTTAGATAGCCCATTTATCGAGGAAGGTTACAGTTAGTAATAAAATAAAAAAATAATAAACATGTCTATCAGGACTTAATTTCATCATCAATATGAAGTTAAGTCCTGCTTTTCACATCTCTAATACTCACACACAACTCGCGAATCGATGATTATCGAATCAAATACGGGTATTGGGAGATCGGTGAGTTTACTTTTGGAGGGTGCGATACGCGCTTGCGCATTTATTTACTTACTTACTATGTTGAACAGCTTGGCGTAAAGCCAGCTGTCGCTCCCTAAGGTGTCCGTGTAGCGTCATAGCGCCCCATTTGATAGCCTGAACCATCATGATAGAACGAAAGTTATTTTTTATGCAGTCGAACATTTCAAACCTTATACTAGAGATGGAGAAAAGTTTAGCTGAACACTTTAATATTGTCTGTATAAAATATAGATACTTGGACAAAAGAAATGTTGTTAACAGTAAGTTTTTAAACGGAACATACTTCGATTCTTTCATCACGCTCTCCTTGGAAATGCATTGTTATTTTATTATAAAACGAAAGGTGTGTTTTTTTGTAAAATACATTATGAATATTTTTTATTTAAAAACTGGACGCACCATATTTATACATCTTTTGAAATAATTTAATAATGCATTTTTACATAGTCACGTCACATCACATCGACAGCCTTTAATAGTCCACTGCTGGACATAGGCATTTCCTTACAAAGGTTTTGGCCTACTATACAGACGCGTTGGTATAGATAGGTCTAAGAGGGTGGCGTTGAAGAAGCCACGAGATATCAACAACATTAATAATTTATTTAATAGGTTTTTCTTTGAATTAGGAACTTGATATTTAGACATATATTAAACCAGATGCTATCAAATATCTCGACGAAGTTTTTCTATCTCTTGATTTAGTCTGTTAGCAGTTATTGGCACTTTGCCGTCATGGCACAAGACTAGTTCCCTTGATAGGATTAAAATCGATAACATTTTACATAGAATCTTCTATTAACAACTACGAACTATCACTTTTGTTTAAAGATAGACCACTATGACAACTTTCACATTAAATGAAGTAAACAGAAAACAGAACGCAACAAAATAACCATCCTTTTGCCTCGCACCACCAATCTGATGTACAAATTGATGACCTCACGAACATACCTACATGAAAAGACCATACTCAATACTTTATTGCTTCCATAATGTAGAAACATAGGTGATACTAATTAAAGTAGTAAAAATTATGGACACTGTCGGGCGCAGCACACAGTGGGTTTGTGACTCCTACATCAAAGCCTTCAACACACTTGTGACTCCTGAGTTTCCAGGTAGCGGTAGTCATTTTCTATCAGGGCCTCAATTCTGCTATTTTATGTTCATGCCAAGCCACTGTCATACCACTGACACGCTATTGAGATGCCATCGAGTGGCCATTGGCATCGGTATAAATATCGGTAGTCTACACTAACTCAGTGTCTTTACAGTGGCGATGGAATGGCAGTGGCTCATCAGTGGTGATATCAAAAAGATTGCCATATTTGGAAAAATAAATAAATCATTGCCTTATAATTTGAAAATATATTACTTTTTTTTAGTTTAGTTTTTGAGGTGTATCAATTCATTCATCCACTATTTTGCCCTCCTAAATAAAACATCGTCAAACTGTCTGTAAACGCTTCAGCCCGACAGGACGCTGAACATTTTGATCAAATTAGTATTTAGGTTAATTGAGTTTATTATGTGCATGAAATATTGTGAGTCGGAACCAGTAAATTGGGCAATCGCAACTAGCACTCAATGCTTCCGTTCATAATGTAGTATTGGGTAACTATAATTGTATTCTAAGCATTACACCTTTTTACACGCTTTATATTAGCTTCACTTAAATGTTTGTTTGTAACCGACTCCTTTGGGCGTGATTTTGACTGACTTTAAACGGTCAGAGTTCGTTCACACTTTGTAGATATATCGAGGACCGATGACTATACAGTAATTTAAAAAATTAAATTACAGTAATTTAAAAAATTAAAAGAAATAGTTTTAAAAAATTAAAAAGTACGCTTTTTATAGAAAACCAAACTAAAAAATAGAAAATAATGCCTATTGTCAATAGTAAAAAGCCCCACGTTTTTTTATTAATTTTTTCTTTTCTTTTTTCTTTTTTTTTTCTTTTTAAAAAGACAACTCCCGCATTAGGAATAAATCCTGTGTCGCGGGGGACTTTACAAACATACATGAAACGGACACAAAGAACACCGAGACTCAGAACAACAATTTGTGGATCACACAAAGTGTCGTCCCATGTGGGGTTTGAACCCACAACACTCGGCGCAGTAGGAAGCGGCGTGGCGACTGCTTAAACCACTACTCCATCCGTGCAATCTATTTACTATGTTCCTGTAATAAGCAGACAATCCGCCTTAAGACAAGCGGTTTTATACACATATTATAATATCGTCTTACCTGATGTCCAGTTTTGTGTTATAGTAGATTCTTGGGTCTTCTTATGGGGTCCCAGAGGACGGACGTCAAAAAATAATGACTGCACGGATGGCCTAGTGGTTGAAGGGATCACCTCGCCGCTTCCTACTGCGCTGAGTTTCGTAGGTTTTATTCCCACATGGGACTTAGTGTTCACAAATTGTTGTTCCGTTTCATGTATGTTTGTAAAGTCCCGCGCGACTCAGGATATATTCCTAGTGTGCGAGTTGTCTTTTAAGATAGAAATGTATACTACTAAATCGCTCCTGAAGTGGTTGACGAATTATTAAGTGCCATTACATGCCTTTAATTTGCCCTAAAAATGAAAAAGAATAAATATCATTTTAATTAAGAAATAGAATAGGCATTTGTCTCCCAACTCGTTTCGTTGAAAATGACACTGGATACAAAGGTCATAGATACACTTATATCCAAGAGTTTTGGTGTGTCGACAATTAAGTTATAGGGCAATTTATTAACACAGTTCTTAGGTTAAAAATAATACATGTGATTATTCCGTTTAATGTTTTTCCAAAATGACAATAATAATTTAATTCACATCACACACAAGACCATCCGATCCCAAAGAAGACGGACCCTGTGCAGTAGTAAACAGGCTGCTGGTAACCATCTATACGTATAAAAATGTTAAATTGGTCTGTGTACGCTTCAAAAACCAAAAAGTTCTGCATGGATTGGGCTCAAATGTTATACACGGAATACGACACGCTTCAAAGATGGTTTTTATCCATATTTCGTGTCAGTTTTGATCCTCATTACTCAACAATACAGCTATAATATGCCACAGCCTAGCGTGGCCAGGTACGGCTAGTACTTTATATTTCTAAATCCATACATCAGAACAAAATTATCGTCCTCATCGTACGATTATTTTTCCTGGGTGGGAATAATTGAACTCACGACCTCTGGCAAAGCAGCTAGGATTACTAACCATTATACCCATAGGCCAGTCAATATTGAAAGGTGTGCAATAACGTGTAAGCCCACCACACCAGCACCCCTTCACAACAAATATTTGAAGTCTCGTCTTGAACATTATTAGAGCATAACATTGCGTAATATTTCATATCATTCGCGCACAAAAAGACGCAATTTTGTTTAAAGTTTGAACATAATTTTCAATGTCATGTTTCATGGATCATGTGACCTCGTTTTTAATAAACTTCGACGAACCGCGATTGCTTTGTGAAATTATCAATTGATTTAAGTTAGAAATGGGTTTAATATAGAAAGTTTTTTTTTATGGCCTACATCTATTAAGTTCGAGGGTTGACTAGGTTTGGACTCGACGGGGGCCTTTATCGAGGGGTGAAGGGGTTAATACGCATTAATCAATAAAAGAGCCTGGCGCAATTAACTACGGAAGTGTGTGCTAACAGTAGTGTGACCCTGACTGCTAAGCCAGAAGACAGTTCCGCCTTTTCGCTGAGAGGCAATGTCTTGCGAGCAACCGAATATATCAGCATCATCATGAGGCCGTGGTACCACTCCAATCGACCCTGCCCGTATATGCTACAGCGTGGATCTCCCTCAGTTATATTTTGTATTTATTACATTATCATACATTGATCCGTGTGGTGACGGATTAAGAATACAAATTGTCACCACCCCAATTCATCCCGTGGGTGTCGTAAGAGCCGACTAAGGGAGCAAACTAAGCAGGACAACAGCACTGCAAAGAGAAGGAAAACTTGAAACAAACCCTATACCAACCCGTCTGGCCAGCGTGGTATAGTAGGCCAAAACCTCCTTTCTAAGGAGAGGCCTATGTCCAGCAGTGGACTAGTATAGGCTGTTGATGATCATACATTACAATATTATAAATGCGAAAATGTGTCTGTCTGTCTATCTGTGCTCTATCACGCTGAAACCGCTAAACCGATTTAAACGAAGTTTAGTATAGAGATAATTTGAGTCCCAGGAAAAGACCAGAAAGTTGGTGAAAAGTGGGGTGGAAGTTTGTATGGGGAATCGATAACCACTGAACCGATTCTGATGTAATTTTGTATGGAAATAGTTTCATTCAAACGTCAAAGGCTACCGCGATAACCGACATACAGGCGGGCGTAGCCGCGGGCAAAATCTAGTTTACTATACTTATTATACGTGAAAAAAAAAAATTGCAAAAAGATATGTTAAATTATGATAATATATAGTATTAATAAAAGGCTAAAAGTAGATACATCATTAGAACAATGATTATTCACGGTCAGACATAAACATTACACAATAAGTAGGCCATCGTGGTCGTCTTGACCGCTCTGTATATTAATATTATCGTGCGTGCAGCTATTAAAGTACTACGGTTTTTATTTTCATCAGAAATCTAGCAATTACCAAAAGGAGATTTATTGTAAAGGTAGATTTATTCGTGAAGGCTCTGTATGACAAATAGTCAACATAAGAACGCTGTCCTAATACTATCAATTTGATTGTGAGTTTGTTCGTTAGGCTTTCACTCCATAACTCGTGATTGTTATGAAATATGTATATACGTAAGGGATACACATAACTGCTCATCACAAAACAAGTACTGTTCCTGAGGCACAGAATCGGGCGAGCTCGACCGGAGTGATACCACGGCCTCACAGAAAACCGGTGTTAAGCTATTCTTTCGTTACCTTTTACTGAGTGAGTGAGGTTACCGGAGCCCAAATCCCCCTCCCGCTGACTCGAGCGAGAGGGACTCCAAGGGCGGCAACGCACTTGTGACTTTTGAGTTGCAGTTGTCTATCGGCGGCGGTAGTTGCTTACCATCAGGTGACCCGTCTGCTCGTTTGCCCCTTAAAACCATAAAAAAGAAATTAACGCGAGCAAAGCCACGAGAAAATGAAGTCTTCAGAAATTTAATTTTGTTACATCATCCCTCTTTGGTCCCTATGACTTTCTTAAATCACTTACATATTGAAAAATTGTTGAAAATAATCATTTTGAACAATGCGTGTACATATTGGGAGCTGACCTTGACCTTGACGCGAGCAATTTGCTTGCGTAATATGATCAAGCAGATTGGTACTATCAAGTTAATGTGCCACATATATGTGCGATGATACAATTGACTTTGAAAGGGTATTATGTTCTTCGTTGTGTTGCTGTGAAGGAGAGAGAGAATAATTCTGATCCTCGTAATTCTAATTACCACTTTCTCCAATTCCAGTATTAAGAAAAAAGTGAAAAAAGGATCTGGGTCGAAAACGTTGCCTTCCAATAGTTCTCCAGTGAGGGGGGCCAGCGGTGCGGGCGGTGAAGCGGGCGCGCGCCGCATCGAACCTGCCGACGCTCTCGGAACTGCCGTCGTTAAGTACAACTACCAGGCACAACAGCCGGATGAGCTGTCTCTCACTAAGGGCACTAGGATTCTTATACTGGAGAAGAGTAACGATGGCTGGTGGCGGGGACAGTACCAGGGACATACGGGCTGGTGAGTTGACATACTTTCGAAAGGACTAGTAAAGAGCGAAAGTCTCACGAAATGTCGGGTACAGAAGATAGACTTTTAAATGTTATACTGTTCAAATAAGCAGTACGTTGAAAAGAAGCACTTGATGAATGTGGAAGAGTCAGTCTCTGCCTAACCCTGATGGGTAAAAAGCGTGATCAATTGTTTGTATTCCAGGTTTCCCTCGAACTACACCAGTGAGGAGGGTGACAATGAGGACCCAGTTCATACCTATGCAATGGCGGAGAACGTTCTAGATATTGTGGTCAGTATTTTATAATTTTAATTTTTATAAACATATATGTATGTACATAAACATGAATTTTACTTGTATTTATGTGATGAAGTCTATACAACTAAGTTGAATTATAAAATACATAAATTTAATTTTAATTTATTTATTTTAGGTGCAAGAGAAAACAGAGAATTTGACTTTATTTATTTAAAACTTATTAATTTAAGATAAATCTAACTTACATATATACTCTATATACGAGGGGTGATCAATAAGTAATGATAATCAATATGAAACAGAACTATTAGATTAAAAAAAGTATTTTATTTTTCAACATAGTCTCCTTGCAAGTAATACATTTAGTGTATCTTTTTTCTAAGCCATGATTCCCTTAGAAAAAAATTCTTTGTCTTGACCCTCCCAAAATGCCTCTACTGCGGCCATCACTTCACTATTGACCTCAAATTTGTTGCCCCGGAGGTGTTCTTTGAGCCGAGGAAAGAGGTAGAAGTCACTGGGAAGCTAGATCTGGCGAATAGGGAGGGTGTTCGAGCAGTTCGAACCCCGTTTCTTCAATGGCAGCCATCGCAACTGCGGCTTTGTGAGCCGGGGCGTTGTCTTGGTGAAACAGCACTCCAGCGCGCAGTTTACCGCGTCTTTTTGACTTAATAGCTTCTCGCAATCTTCTTATTTGGGCCTGCGTAGTAAGAGCCTGTTATAGTGGCCCCCTTTTCCAAATATTCCACCATAATAATTCCTTCTGCATCCCAGAAAAACAGACGCCATAACCTTTCCCGCTGAACTTGACACTTTGAATTTCTTCGGCGTTGTGTGAGGAAGCTCGTTTCCAAGTCATTGATTGTTGTTTGGTTTCGGGATCAAAGTGGTGGATCCAGGTCTCGTCCATGGTCACAAAACGTGACAAAAAAAAATCTTTATCGGCCTGGAACTTTGAAGATTCACCCTCGAAATGTCGACTCGTTTCTTTTTTTGCTCGTCGGTTAACATTCTCGGTACCCAACGCGCAGAGACCTTTTTCATATGCATTTTGTTGACAATGATTTTTTGAACGCTGCCATAGGAGATCCCTGTGACCTCAGCTACATGCCTTACGGTCACCCTTCGATCGGCCAACACGATATCTTCCACTTTTTTGACGTTTTCTCCAGTATTTGTGTGTGGTGACGGATCAAGAATACGGAGTGTCACCACCCCTATTCATCCCGCGGGTGTCGTAAGAGGCGACTAAGGGAACAAACTACGCAGGACAACAGCACTGCAGAGAGAAGGAAAATTTGAAACAAACCCTATACCAACCCGTCTGGCCAGCGTGGTATAGTAGGCCAAAACCTCCTTTCTAAGGAGAGGCTTATGTCCAGCAGTGGACTAGTGTAGGCTGTTGATGATATTATGTCGAGTAAACAATAATTGACTTAGAGCAAAGCAATAGTTCCTCACTCAGTAAGTGTCGGACAGGTGGCGCTGTATTCCTTCACGTCGAACAACGAGCAGGAACTGTCGTTCGAGAAAGGCGACCGGTTAGAGATCATCGAGCGCCCCCCCTCCGACCCCGAGTGGTACCGCGCGCGCGACTCGCGCGGACACGTGGGGCTCGTGCCGCGCAACTACCTGCAGGAGCTCGCCGACTACCTTACGCAGCCTTATAGGTACCATATAATATTGTATTTATTTTAATTAATCTGTATAGGTATTGTTACGAGCGGGGTATATAATAAATAAAACTTGTCGGTTAATTACTTTATTGCACTGAATTTACAAACACTCATTATAATAAACTAGAAATCACTATATATCTCGTTAGCCGCACTGGAAATTCACTCCGATGTTAATTCGCTGTGTCGTAAAAAAGAAACTGTCTCGAACGGCCAACATGCTTAGCTTTTATAGCGCTATCGAATTTACTAGAAAGATCCCTAGTATTCAATAGTCCGTTCTAGACAAACAAGAATATTCCAGAATCAGTCACGTGTTACTTGCAGTGCCATCTAGCTCTGTAAGGATCGGAACTATGTACCACAATCTTAATAGATGTATTTTACTCGATATTAGGATGGCGCTGTCTTCGACATTCTATACAATTCTGGGACAATTGCATCATTTAATCTTATGGTAGTAATGTAAATAGTATTTTAAACAATCGGCATACTGGGTATTCATTTATTCTTTAGAAGCTTCTAGAAGATGTGTGATTTTTCGTGCGTTCTAGTGACGGTGAAGGAGCCCGCGGAGGCCCGACGCCGGGCGGGCCCGCGACCAGCGCGTCGCTCGCGGGCCGCGCGTGGTACTACGGCGCCATCACCCGCACGCACTGCGACGCGCTGCTCAACCAGCACGGCCACGACGGGGACTTCCTCATCAGAGACTCGGAGACTAACGTGAGTATACTTCGGTTCGAGATCGGCCCGTGCCGAGTGTGTGAGCATAGAGTGAACCAATTTTGCAATATTTTGCAGACTGCACGAACGGTGTAGTGGTTTAAGCGGTTCCCACGCCGTTTTCTACTACGCCGAGTGTTGTGGGTCCGATTCTCACACGGGACGACACTTTGTGTGATCCACAAATCGTTGTTCCGAGTCTGGGTATTCTTTGCGTCCGTTTCGTGTATGTTCGTAAAGTCCCCTGCGACACAGGATATATTCCTAACGCGGGAGTCGTCTTTAAAACAAATAAATATAGGCAACGAGAGAGATGGATAAGAGATAGTCTCTTCTATCTCTTTCTAGTGGAGCTCCGGGTTAACGAGTAGCCGACAGTTGCTTAGTTAAACAGAGACGGGGGAAAGTATCGGTCGTCTATCTCTCTCGGTGTCGTGACGGTAGAGGGTGGGGTGTGTGCAGGTGGGCGACTACTCGGTGTCGCTGAAGGCGCCGGGCCGCAACAAGCACTTCCGCGTGCACGTGGAGGGCTCGCTGTACTGCATCGGACAGCGCAAGTTCCCCACGCTCGACCAGCTCGTGGCGCACTACCAGCGCGCTCCCATCTACACCAACAAGCAGGGCGAGAAGCTCTACCTCGTGCGTCCGCTGCCGAGAGACAACTAACCCGTGTTGTCCTTCTCCTTCCTCGACTTATCCGTTGCTCCCCTCCAGATATTATCATATAACGAAACTAGGTTTGAGCTTCCGATATGTGTATTGTCAATTTTGTACGAAATTTGTATTCATTCCGGTTTGTGTACAGAGTGGCTCGAAAGTCCTGTATCCTGTTTCACTATGTCTACCGATAAACTAGTGTTGTCTTTGTCTTTGAAGTTAGGAATCTGACGGCCGATAGAGACAAAACGATTTTTTATCTTGTAGATGATGTCGCTTTAGACATTATGAAACTGGCTCCTAAATCTAACCGTAATAATCTAATCGATTCTAAATTTGAATAATTATTAAAACATCTGTAAATGTTCTTTTTTCGAAAAGATTCTAAATTCAGATTTGTAAATTAGATAGATTATTAAGTTTAGTCGATAATCGATCGTTGAACCGAATAGATTCTATAGATATCGATTTACGCATAGTAAGACGAAACAAAACTAACTAGAATCTGTTCGATGCGAAAGGACCTTTATACGGTGAAGTGTGGCGATATAGCGTTGGAACAACGCGCCAACAACAATAATAAAACCAAAAATTGGCTTCTCTATCTCTATTAGTGTTTAATAACATTTTTATATCATATTATTTTTAGGTAAGTCGAGAATAGTGTAATTTTATGATTTATGAACTGTGTTTCAAGCGTGTAATCGATACTCGTGTCAAATAACTCAAAGGGTTTTGTCCATTTTCGAATGTGGCAACTCAAACCGAAGTGATAATTTGCTTTCAAGTTGAAAACTAGTTCCGTTTGACTTGCTTCGTCGGAGAAGGTTCATGACGCTTCGGTTATGTGATTGTGAAGTAAATATATACACAGATGCATATATACATTGTGATGTTTGGCTAAGTAAGATATAATGTAAGTCATGTTCAGGGCAAATCGTGGAATGTCTAAGGATCGTGTAAGGTGAGTGGGAATTTTGTACGGTTTTCTAAAGTGCTCGGTGTAGGCAGGACTTGCAGGGGATTGACAAGGTGACGCATCTTAAAATTATAACATTCATTGTTATGTTTGAGGGTTCTTAATCCATTGATGAAATACACGGTATAAGAATGTATTTTATTTAATAATGTTAATTAGGTAATATTATACATTTTACAACGATTTTTATTATAATTTACACCAATATGAATTCTTTATAAAATAGTCAAAATTAAAAAGAAAATAAAAATCAGCAAGTTCTAAATTTGAATATATATTTTAAAAAATCAAAACTAATTTCTATACGTTCGTCTAATTACGTAAAATCTTAACTTATGTCTAATTAGTTCAAAATATTTTTATCGACTAACCCTTTGAATAGTCGATTATTCATCGACAAAAAAATTATCTCATCATACTACACGCGATAGAATTTTTTAAAACAACAGTTTCAATTTAACGTATTATAAATCATTTTTCTACCTTTTTCCCAATTTCATTTACGGGGTTGGCGCAATATGTAACATTGGAAAGGGTTTTGGTTGGTTACTTTCATAACCGACCGCCGGAGACCGGACAACAATTCTCTTTATGTATGTAACAGATTACAGACGGGACAAAGAAATAAAGTTCTCCTCCAAGAAGGGATACGCCCTTCTGGCAGAAGAAACGGGAATTGAGACTGCAACTTCTCTCAAATGACAGTTACTATTCTCTGACAGTTCGGAGTCATATTCAATTCAATCCAATTCAATTCGCCCCATTCTTGTCAATCCTGCATTTCCAAAGTGAACATATATAAGCTGTATGCCAAGCAATGTTCGCGATGTGATGGCACCATTACATAAGTCTGACTTGTACAATCGTGTAGTCAAATATATCGAAAATTTACAATATTCCTACCTTTTTTGTAGTGTTTTTGACAACGAATTAGCTATCGTACGGATGGTACGGTGCGAGTTTGAACTTACATCACGGGTACACTAGTTATAACACATTTTAGCCGACTATCGAAGCATTTTGATATACAGGTGTTGCAGAATATGCTCATTTTTAAGGGGGGTAGGGTTGCAGATCCCGTAAATATTTTTATTGACAGATAAAGCTTAGAATTTCGTTAGAAAATAAGCCGAGATGAACGAAGTTACGAATATTTTATTAAATATTCATAGTTTCGTGGACATTCCAGTGACATGTTTGGTATTTCAAATATGTCCAGAATGTCCGGATTTTGTAGGAAATGATAAAAAAATTGTGACACCTGTATAGCAATGATTTTTGTTGCAAGGGATATAGAAATTTATATAGGAACATACCATACCATACTAAGCATAGATTGTAGTATATTGTTTTTAAAAACTCTACTTTGGTATCCGAGGTTCGATATCCGTAATGTACCATTTTACACATGAATGTGTCTATTTGCAATTGATCTGGGTGTCGAACGATATGTATTTAGTTATATATAAATGTTTTCTAAATTCTAGAATTCACAGTACAAGCTATGCTTAGTTTGTAATATGTAACGAAATATTTTACTTAAAATACAGGTGTAGTTCTAACTCGTGCCGTGGGCGGGGAATCTCATAGGGTTGATTTCCACTGAGGTGACAATCGCTAGTCAATATATTATACGCCGACATCACAAAAAGATTCAGCTTTTATGTATTCACTTATTTTTTATTTTATTTTATGTACAACACGGGGCGCACAAAATGTTTGGGTCGGTTTATATTTAGTGTATAAAGAGATCGGTAATAAAGTCTCACTTTAGTCACAAAATACACACCCTATATTTTAAATGCGGCAATTGTGTTGTCTCGCTCTCCCTCTGCTATAGTCCTTCAACGTCGTGCGCGACCGTCCTGCGGGGTGACAGACGGTGGCGGGGACGAGGTACTCAAGATGTCCGCGGGTAGCGGGTGGTGTAGCGGGGAAGGGAAACGCTTCTCTTCGTGTGTAGCCGTGTGCTAGAATGACGCGCTACCTCGCCCCCGCCACTGTCTGTCACCCCGCGGGACGGTCGCGCACGAGATTGCCGGGTTATAGTTTCAAGTAAGTTGAACAAAGAAGGGAGACTACCAACAATAATGTTTAGAAGGTTTATATATAAACCTTATAATTAGTGTCATAAGCTTTAAATTATTAGGCATAATTTATAAGTGGATTTATACAAAACTTATCAACGTGTACTTGGCGATAACTTAGTAATAGTGTGCCAGGGAGGGACTCGGATTTTATTATTAATTATTATTATTAATTGGAACTAGTGGTTGTACTGTATGTATTATATTGGTACTCGACCATTTTGTGCGCACCTACCGCAATACGTTCATTGTGTAATAAAGTGTAAAGTAACAATGGCAGCTTAGTGTTGTTTTATACGTTAATTATTGTTTGTTAATATATTAATTTTGTAGATAACAATTTAAAAATTTAAATACGAATCACATTCAATTATTATAAGTTCAATCCTGTAGTGACTTGTCGCTCAGTTATGACAACAATATGTTATATTCACGCATTGACCCTACATGTCTAGTGGTCAATGAGCCTAATCGCTGAACCAGAGGTTCGATATCCGCCCAGGACAAATAATTGTGTGATTAGCAGGTCTCGGAGTAATTTATCTATAATACGTATTAACCAGCAGTCTGCCCAGTCACTGCCTGATTTGGGATGTCTGATCCCAAATTAGGCAGAGCAGACTGAGGCAGAACCGTGTGTAAAGTTATTATTATTATTGTTGTCGAAACTGGGCGATATAATGATGTAATTGTCCAAAAAAAACAAACATTTTGTATACACTCCATTACGTCAAGTATTAAATAGCTTTTAAACAGGATGGTTTATTTTTGTACGGATTTATTTGACAGTTGACACACTGACAGTTGAAAATGCACCAAGTGTAGAGATTTTGTATGCGACAAGTTAGTGTAAGTTTAGGTTACATGTGACACTGTATTATACATAATATGTGATTGAGGGTGTTTTCCTTGGCTGATAGTGTAACGGGCGTGTGTGTGAACCAATTATTTTGCATTTAAGTGTAACTTTAGAGACTCCATTTCAGACTTGGATGCTTTTTTTACAGTTTAAAAATGGGTTTCTGAAATATTTCTTGCGTCACTGATGTTATAAGTTCGTAAATATCGTTCATTCGTGAATAAAATATTGTTTATTAATTGCTGTTTAAAAAGCGATCGTTTTGCTGTTAAATGCGGGTAGTTTTTTTTTTTTGACACTTCTACTTGACAAATGTGGGTAGACAGATTGTTTTATGAGTACACCAGTATCATCGTGCAATATTAAGAATTTTTTTATTAATTGGAAGAACGATTAGATTTTAATGTATTCTAAGTAAAGATATAACAGAGTTTACATCGATTGAATGTCTACAAATCATCCAAAATGGTCAAAGTTGTTAACTACACTAAGTCCGCCTATACCGGATTGATACCAAGGCCTCACAGGAAACCCCTGTTAAGCCATCTTTTCATTGCTTTTCACCCAGTGAGTGAGGTTGCCGGAGAAACAAATCCTCCCTCCCCCTTATTTTAGGTGTAGGGCTTGAGTTGTATGTGTGAGACGGTAGTCACTTACCATTAAATTTGTTCTGTTTGTTCGTTAGCCCCCTATACTACATGGCAATGGTTTTTTACCTCTCTTGGTCATACGTATGTGCAATAAGTTTTCCAATTATGTATTTAGCAGGGCGTCTTCACTACACACAATTGTCTAGTAGTAAGTTTGTTTATTGATGATATTTTGCTCAGAATATTTCTTTATCGTATTTCGTCGGAAAACATCCTCGAGATGGCGATGTCTCCGTGACGTTGATGACGCACTATAATTAATTACATGTGATACCTTTTGAGATATAACTTTTGTCAATGAATAAATAAACGGGATTATCGAGCGATTAGGTTAAGGTAAGAAAAATATCTACACTAATATGAATCAGTGTTTGAAATATTCTGAAAACTAAATGTACAATAAAAAACGTAGCTTTTTATAAGAATACTTTTTTTTCATACATTTTTAAGAAATCAATATCCAAGTAATTCGACCTAAGTCATATCTCAAAACCGAGTGGTCGTAAGTTACTAGATCTTTTTGATGTATTTAATACGTTTTATACTCAATAATGTAATTAGAATAAAATGCGAGGCGAACTCAGTGTAGAGATTTATTAGAGAAACTTTAACAAAATATTAAAATGCAAACCGATTGTGAGATGCCAGTGTTGGGCAATAATATTGTATCCAAATGATGGCGGTATAAGTCGATGGATACAACACACAAACATGTTAGGCGGTGGATTTTGGCACAAACATGAATTGTTGCCAACGAAATCAGGGGCGGATCCAGCATTTAACTCAGGGGAGTGAAAAATCAGGGGTCATTTATGTCAGGACTCATAATAAGCTCCAATTTGATTAAGCATTACAACAACATTTATTTACAAGACACTTATGCATCTTTAATAATAATACAGTATTATTAAAGTAAGTGTATTGTAATAACATTATAATCTATTATGTAAATACATGTTCATACAAAGTATTTATCGAGTTAAAATAATGTAACTATCAAAGTTATCAACCTAAATCAAGGATGGCTAGAAGGAGGTCGTGGGATCCGCCCTTGAACGAGATATTGGAGCTACCGCTACCGACGTATAGTCACTGTCCACACTGTTCAGTCGGCTAGAATCACTGTACTCTGTCTTCCTCGATCGTCGAAGCATCGCGTTAATTGAATGCAAGCACAAAAACTGTAGCTACTGCACGGGCTATGAGATGGGTATATCGGATGTTATTGTGATGTACACAAGTGTGTACAAAAGTGTATTATATCTCAACGAACGACTATTGATGGACTTAGTGCACTAATTATAACCAGCTTTACTTACAAATAAACATTGCCAAACTTAGAAGGAATTAAAGATGTCTTTACATTCCTTAAATGCTTTTTTACTGTACACTTGCGACGAGTAGCTTAAAAAATAAATATAACTTGGGGTACTAAAGTACGGCCCTGTAACAGATTTTCAATAGTCGACTACTTACATTAAATTGTATCAAATATTTTATTAGTGTAACTAGGTATAGATTATAGTGATTCGGTTTTTTATTTTTATATTGCTCAAAGTATATTGTTTTATGATTTGTATTTGTGGAATTGTGTTTGTAAGTTTGAATGTATATTATCCGATGTAACGAGCCAATGTAAGTGCAGTATGTAATATTTAACAATAATTTATTTATTAATTTGCAACGTGTTGTTTTATTTAACTCAGTTGTCCTAAGAATTTCAACGGAGAAGGGGTAATCGGTACTTAGAAGCGTCTGCACGGATGGCGTAGTGGTGAGTGGTGTGGTCCGATCCCCACATGGAACGACACTTTGTGTGATCCACAAATTGTTGTTCTGAGTCTGGGTGTTCTTTGTGTTCGTTTCATGTATTTTTGTAAAGTCCACCGCGACACAGGATATATTCCTAATGCGGGAGTTGTCTTTTTATAAAATAAATAAAGTAAAAACAGTTTAAACGGAATATTACGTGTGATGACGGATTGAGAATATGGAGTGTCACCACCTTTATTCATCCCCTGGGTGTCGTAAGAGCCGACTAAGGGAGCAAACTACGCACACTGCAGCACTGCAAAGAGAAGAAAAACCCTATACCAAACAGTCTAGCCTACTGGCAAAAACCTTTTTTCTAAGGGGAGGCCTATGTCCAGCAGTAGACCACTAAAGGCTGATGATGATGAAACCAAGTATAATTTAATCTCGACAAATTAAACCAAATTAGATTACTTTTACCATTTATAACAATTGAATCGATCTCAAAATCGATATTTATGAGCCAATGTTATTAATAAAGATAATAAAGAGCAATGGTCCTAATAAGGAACCAGAAGGGATCGGTAACCATGCAGACGTTCAGCCGTTAATTGCAACAGCCTGAGATCTATTTGTAATGTATAAGGAGAACCACCTGAATAGGTTATCGTGTAATCTAGCTTTATTCAACTTCTGCAGGAGTAGTAAATGGTCCATACGATCGAATGCATTGATAAAATCGGTAAACACAACATGCACTTGGCCTCCAGACTCCATATGTGAGGTTGTAAAGTCGCTAAATACTAACAGATTAGATACAGTCGTCCTTCGCTTTAGAAATCCATGCTGTTCTGGTATAAAAATGGACTGTAACGCAGCGTAGACCTGATCATATGCAATTCTTTTAAAAACTTTCGCGAACATACAGTTTGGAGATCGGCCTGTAATTTTTTAAATTCGACCTATCACCTTTTTTATGAATGAGTGTAACGAAGGTGGACTTCCAAACGGCAGGCACCGCAGCCTCTTTTACACGTGATTCTGGATTCTAAGGAATCAAACTTTGCCAAAGATTCATCCGCAGTTATTTGTGCATATTCAACGGAGACTGTCAGATCACAGATATCTTGTTTGATGGTTTTTAGGTCTACCACTAAGGTTGCCAGGGGCGCCAATTGTCGCATTATGCTGTTCAGTGTTAATCGCATTTCACTTAATTGCTGAGATACTGCTGATGAGATGGTGCCACCGGGGATGAGACAGATTTATAGTCAGAGCATCGCCAAGTGTTTTTGCGATCTCCTAACTTTCGGAAGCCGATCTCAGTTATGCCAGCACATGCGAAGTCAAACTGACGCTTACACAAGCAACACGTAGTAATGTCATTTGCATTTTCACCACAACGCGCACACGAGAACATTTTTATACAAAGCGAACCCGAAGTTCGCCAAGACGAGCGATACGCGTGTTACTTCAACTGAGTGGAAACGATGAGTGGGAGTTATGGAAATTATTTGGAAATTTATAATTCCTCGTAGAGTATGATACGTTTCTTAGTTAGCATTTAGCAAAATATGGTAATATTGAGAAAAGAACACATTCATATTGTCTTCAACGATTTGCGAAGAACTTATTGAAATATTAGGAAGTAAGAAATTATTGAAGCCAAATATTTCTCGGTAAGCATCGATTAGACATCAGGCACATCTAAGGGAGAAGTAGCAGAACGTTTTCTTACATTTATTTCCATACGTATACAGTAAGTTTAATAATAATAATAATCGCAGTTGAAAATAATTGGATAAAGAGCCATTTTTGTCATGAAAAACATTTCATAATGTCATTATGCTACTGTCATACTACTACCTTATTTTTTACCGAAAGTAGGACACTCCATCCTTTCTTGCTTTTTTACTGCACTGATATTGTTGAACGTCATACTACCAACACGGTGGCGAAGCAGCTATTAGCGCAACTCTGCTTAAAACTTAGGGTGCGTTTCCACTGATGCAGAGCTGGGAGGAGTGGAGCGGAAAAGGGAAAAGTCTGCTCAGCTCCGCTCCGCTCCACTTACACTGTTTCCACTGATGCGGAGTGCAGATTTCGAGCATTGTCATTGGCCAATTCACGGTCCGCTCCTCTTCACTCCGGCCAGCTCCGCGTCAGTGGAAACGCACCCTTAAACTACAAGGACTATTTCATCGAAGAAGTCAACTATTTATTTATTTTACGGCATTTAAAAAAAATCGTCTGTGTGGTGACGGATTAAGAATACAGAGTGTCACCACCCCTATTCATCCCGTGGGTGTCGTAAGAGGCGCCTAAGGGAGCAAACTACGCAGGACAACAGCACTGCAGAGAGAAGGAAAACTTGACACAAACCCTATACCGACCCGTCTGGCCAGCGTGGTGTAGTAGGCCTAAAACCTCCTTTCTAAGGAGAGGTCTATGTCCAGCAGTGGACTTGTAAAGGTTGTTGAAGATAAATAAAATCAGTAAAATCAAATTATTTATCTTTTAAATCGTAATACAACAATAGATTACAATCAATTTACCTTCAGCGTTTCTTAACACGTAATCTATGATTATTTTCAAAACCTATCGACAAAATTCGCATATACCTATGTACATGAAGCTGGCAAGAGCTCGATGCGAAAAGCCCAAAATCGATCTAAGCAAGGCTGCACGCCACTTAGATCGATTAGGGATTAGGGAGAGGCCTATGTTCAACAGTGGACTACGATAGGCTGATGATGATGATGAAGGTGATGATATGTAGTGGAAAATCGTACATAGTCACGACAGGAATAAGGCGTTGGTTTTAATGAAAAACTACCAAAACGTATTCCGGTTTTAATCCTGACAACATTCTGCTATCCTGCTATAAAGTTGTCGTCATTTCAAATATTCTTTCTTTTGCGTCGAAACGCGTGACGACAGGTTTGTGATTCGGTGTGACCACTGTGAGCGAGAATTCTTCACAACTGTAAGTATTTTTATTGTATTTATGCTTCATTCAAACAATTGTTTGTGTGAATGAGTTTAATTCAATTGGTCGATCAAAACGATAAAAAATCAAGATAATAGTGCTGATTCTGTTGTTCACATCATTACCAAACTAAAATTTCTGTGTACCTTCAAAGGAAATTAAAAATAAGTATGCTTTTACATGCTGTTTTTTTTTATTTATTGTTTTATTCAGTTAGGATTGCGAAAGCAGATCTATATAACAATATGAATTTAATTTAAGTAAGCCAACTAGTTCCAACGAACCTATTAACGAATTGTGTGATGTAAAACAATACAAGTCCTCGTGCAATGACTTTTCAGTACGTACAAATATATATTATGTGAAAAATGAAATAGATATGTGTGTGTGTTCAAGTAAATATTAAGAATTCATGGATCTTTTTAAAAACATCGGACTTGTGTTGTTACAAAACTATAATCCGTAAAAGTAACGCAAATTATTAGACACAAACATCTTTAAATTGTTAGTAAATCAAATACAGGTTACAGTTCTTCGGGTAGTAGTAATCCAATATAGATAGATATTCATGTAAAATTCCCCTTTTTGATCGTTTTTTTTTTTGGTAAAGTGCCATCTAAAATATTCTCGTTTGACAATCCGTTGAGTCTCATTCTTTCTGCCATTTGCCACCTGCCCTTTGCCTTTTTAGGGTGCCATGGTATGACTATGAACCCTTAGTTTCGGCCTGTCCGTCTGTTCGTTCGTCAGACCGCGGCTTGGCATAGATAATATAAATACTAGAACAGTAATTTTGGATGAGAATATAACGCGCGAATATGATTACTCACGCCAACAAAAAATAAAAATTTAGATAACAAATTTTTAGGATACCTCCCGTACACGTAAAGTGGAAATGTTTTTTTTTGTTTTCGGCTATCACATAGTGAGTATGATATCTCTTGCAAAAATTATGTTATGGCTGTTAATTATGACTGTTAGTCTTGACAACCCCTTAATTATTTCAGTGAAACCTTTGAGAAATATTAACTTTAAAATGCTAAATTATGTTATAGCTTCCCACTCTCTAAAAGCTGTACTGTTGTTAGCTTTTGAGTTTTGAAAAATGTTAAGTAATATACGAGTATGTGTAACGAACTTAGCAGGCAAATTATCTTTGTTATTTTAAGAGTAATAGTAATCCAAGATAAAAGAAGTATAATACAGATATTTGTTTGTTAGTTTAAGGACGTATATAGGTGTCACGCTTAAGTTTCTGTTAGATCTCTTTTTTTTTTTTTTTCGTGCGGAAATCCCCTCGGATACCACCATGCATGTCGGACTCCAACCGACTAAAACCGCACGCCGTCTCGGGTACTAATAGCCGGGTAACCAGGTATACCCTAGAAAGGAAGTCCCTGGTGCTCTGTTAGATCTCCTGAGTCTCATCCTTAATATGAAAAACCAACATGTTTTATGTGAGCAGTAATGAACGATACCTACTAAATAGTAAAAATAACCTCACATGTTGCAGAACACTTTCCAGAGTAGTTAAGTATGGGATAACAAAATGTTTATTTATTTACTTATGAAAGGTGATCCCAGTGTTTTTCATATCTAAATGGCAGTAATACATGACTGTATATTTGCGAAATTAAATAATCCGAAAACAATAAACTTCCCGTAATACAACCGCTCAACACCAGTGTCACGGCGTACTGGATGCGCCGCGCTGGCGCATATCTTATGCCCCGCCCGCCGCGGTATATATTTCATGGCACCATTTTTTAGGTTTAGTTACGCTTCTAGAGAAATTATTATTCGTAGATAGTTACCGAGTCATTGTTATCCTTCTTCTTTCTCTGTCAATGTTAACCGGTAGAGAATTTCTTTTTGTGCCCAAATTTTGACTTGACCCATTATGAGGGACCCTAAGGGAGTGCTATAGTCAGGCGGAAGGAGGGTGTAGACTCCGGTACCCTCAGTCACTTTGTGCAAAGCAACGATATAACTGCTTACCGCTGGTTTTCTGTGAGGCCCTGGTATCATGGAGTATGGCATTTCAAAATATTTTTTTATTACTGTAGTTATATGTGCTTGCTAGTTGGGGGTGCAATCTTGATATATGTATATTCTATCGGATTCAATTCCCGGGAGATGGGAGATAATGCATTCTGACAGTGGGCTGTTAAAATGTTTCATCTAGGTAGACATGACATCCCCACGAGGGGGTCAACTACAAGCTGTAGATGGCCCGTGGTCCGTCGGGGTACACGTAGGGTACACCTGGTTATGTTGCTACTAGTGCCCGAGACTGCGTACTGTTTTTAGTCGGTTCGAGTCCGACATATCCACCCCAATGTGGTGGGGTATCCCAGGGGATTTCCGCACCGAAAAACCATGCGTACATGACATCCTTGTGAACTTCATAGTTAAAAAAATTGTACCTGGATTGTTATAAGCTCGCCTCTTTTACGTGAAACCGAAAACCTAGACATATGTTCCCAAGTGCTAGAGGCAGGTAGGTTTTCCATACACTTGCATGTTAATGTGTATGTGGTCTGGTGTAGAACTAACACCCGGTTTCTCAAAGGCTGTGTCAACACAAAAACAATGAAAACACTGTTAAATCTTTTGTCACATGCTGTGATTGACCAATTTATTATCAACACAATTTAAATACCAGTTATGCTATTATGTTTATTTCCATCCAAAGCCAGCCGTCATGTTATAAAATTATGTAGAATCTACCATGTTTTTTTGTATTTGCAGACCTCGGATATTATGGCTATCACTGCAGCTGAAAAAAGAAAACGTGAGAATATATATTATCAGAAATTAAAGAAAAAAGTCCCTGTAAAATACGATGTTGAGAAAACGATACAATTGTTACGACTTGCCAAGAACGTCGTTTTGTACTTAGTTTTAAGTGATAAGGTGAGTTTTATAGACATAATCCTACACTTCAATTGTTCTTTGATGTAATAATACACAATTCTTTTGAGATTAATAATATTCCACAATCACATAGGCAATGTTTCACGTAAATGCACAGATACTTAATATTGATCACACAGAAAGACACCGTGTAACAGTGTTGTGTGATCAATAATAATTCAAATGAAAACAAGATCACGAGTGACGCTCCTTGACTAAGACTGTTTATTTGTGAATATGTTATCGCGACGAGATAAATTACTGATTCAGCCGTGGGAGGACCGCAGATTCAAAGATCATCGCTCAAAAGTCAGTTAAGTTAAATAGATATAAAAATGACTAGATATTAGGTTTTATAAGTCCTTTAGACATATTGCCACTGCTGTGTTTTACTGACGGTTCGGTAAAAGTTCCATCGGATAGGTCTCTAACAATAGGCCCTTGTGGGATCCTTGGGCTACCAAGAGATCTCTAAGACCTATCAAGTAAGTAAGGCCTCCTAGCACTGCGTTCAGATAGCACGTGAGTGTCTGAAGCTGCTAGGACCTCTATTTGTGATTAGAGATGTTTTCAGGAGAGCGACAGAGACTTGTTTGAATCATTAACGGGTTTTAAGAGGCTATTACGATATTGCCGGCTGGTAAACTTGTTTTCGCACTGCGCGGTATCTTCTCGGTGTGGTAGATTGGATAGCAGTAACGGAAGCTGTAGTGGGCATGTCTAGGGTCGAGTTACATCTGGTCGTACCGAAGCATACTGTCCTATACTTCAATTCCTTTCTGTCATTTAAAACTTTATTTACTAGAGCGAGAAAGAGTGCGACTGAACGCGAAGGTATTGATGGGACCGCCGGCAACATGCACGCTTTTATCACTGTCCTCTCTTCAACTGTCCCATCTCTTTCTTCCTTTCGAACTTGAAACTATACTGTGAGCAAAACAAATGTCAAAAGAATGCGATAACATGCAGCAGCACGCAGCGGACATGCTCCGCAGCATACAAATAATAATATCTTTAATCAGTAAAAGCTTATGTCTAGTTAAATTTTGCATCTGTATCTGAACTAGGCTTAACACTAGCTGAGGCAACAGTGCTCTTCCAACATAGCTATAACATTGAATAACTTTCTCAAAACATAAGTAACAAAACCAATTGATCTCTGTGTTTTTGATGTGAGTGAGTGTGAGAGGTTAAAAATGCAACAGCGTGCTGCAGCAGGCGGAACAAGTGCGGTTCCTTGTTGTCAGATGTTGTTCAACCCTTATTTTGCCTTGGAGTAATTTGCCTTCTCTAAAAAGATTGAGCGCTCGAAAGAATGATCGCAGATAGCAAGGGATACTGACCACGTACTTATTCGCTTTCCCCTCAGTTGGCGAAAATGCGTGCAGCGGTGGATACGCGTGCTCCAGCCGCGCGGCCGCACGTGGCACTGAAGCTGAAGAAGGCGAGCCAGGAGCAGGAGCGCACCGACCGGGTGCAGCGCGATAACTACACCATACTGCAGCGGCTCGAGCGAATCATGAAGGTCAACCGCCTCGACAATCGCTGGTCGAAGCCGTTACCGAAGTGATAATACTTTATATATATTCTAACAATTAGTTAGTTCGTTGCACTTTATTAATGTAGTTCATTTGACATTTTTATAATATTTGACTGCTTATTTGTAGAATGCAATGCTTGACTACTTACTTATTTTGCTTGTGCACGGCTTATGAATAAAAAAATACTCATACCGTTGAAGTTTTATTAAATTTCAGCCATATTTCTTTCCAGTTTAGTAAAAATTAGAGCGTGCTTTAGACCACACGCCTAAAGTAAAACTTCTTGGCTATGAGAGAAAGAGGGAAAGAAAATGTGTGCTCGCACCTCTCTCTCTCTTGCCCCTACAGTAATATACGAAACGTAACTCTCTCTTTCTATCTTTACTAACTTATCCGTCCGTCTCAACTTCCGTTCGCCTCGCCAGATCATACTTTTCGTAACGCTCTCGTTATACATTCACTAGCTTGCTCCCCAAGTCAAGCCTGCGTAAAGAAGTTTAACTTCAAAATGTACCTCCAATTTTTAGAATGACAGTCACAGCACTAGTCTTGTTAGAGCAGACATCCACTGACGTGAAAAACCGTCATTGGCGTGGTCGGCACCTCGCTTACAAACTTTGCCGCTTCTGATTTAGAGAATTAGTGATGTAGCGGTGTGATTTTTACAATATTATATTAATCAGATATTAACTAAATACGTGGTAATTATAATTATTATAGCGTAGTATAATAAAGTATTAGACCTTTTTTTTTGTTGATTAGTGTGCGGTACGCCAACAAAATCTTCTCTTCGTTAAGGGTTTGAATGATGCAGATAATTAGACTTTTTTTTTTTCCTATCGGTGGCATGTCGGACTCGAACCGACTAAAACCGCACGCCGTATCGGGTACTAATAGCCGGGGAACCAGGTATACCCTAGAAAGATAATTAGAGCCCTATGTTGTATAAATCTGCCCATCTTGTAAAATATATGCCCCGAACCGCTTTATAAATATACCTACAATATACGCTATAATACGCTGTATACAATATTAAAAAAGTAATTATAACATTTAAAAATGGAACTCTGGCTGAAGAATACAATTTGTGTCATGTAACTGTCATTTGTTTATCATTTGGAAAATTGCGTGTCTTTATCACTGTGAATTTAACTCGTGAAAATTTTCGTGCTTTGATTTATTAAGATTTTCGGCGAGGGCTAACTCAATAACAGTGCATCTTTTTCCGGCAATCTGTGTCACAATAGTTCTTCATGTAAAAATAAATAATATTTTTTTTACTTACTTAATTCTGAGAAGCCAGTACATCACTTCCTATTTTTACAGAATTGTTTTGTTGGCTAAGTTTTTTAACTGATTACTTATGTGTTAATTAGATTATGTTAGTTAACCCAGAAGAATTTTAAGTTCAATGTTATTTGATTGTGATTTTACTATAAATTTTACATTTGGATGAATATTGTTTTTAATCAGAACTATTTCATCAACACACATCACATCAACAGCCTTTAGTAGTCCACTGCTGGACATAGGCCTCTCCTTAGAACGGAGGTTTTGGCCTACTATACCACGCTGGCCAGACGGGTTGGTATAAGGTTTGTTTCAAGTTTTCCTTCTCTGTGCAGTGTGGTTGTCCTGCGTAGTTTAGTCACTTAGTCGACTCTTAAGACACCCAAGGGATGAATAGGGTTGGTGACAATCTGTATTCTTAATCCGTCACCACACGGATACTATTTACTAATTGTTAATTTTTATAAAGTTGATTTTAGGCAAATCTACTTACTTTCATAACATTAATAAATAAAGGTCCAAATTTAGTTATTTTACACATTGCCGGTGGTTCAATAGGTTCAATAGGTTCAATAGGTGCACCTTCGATATTTACAGTCATGTCTTTAGGCAAGAAATACAATATATCGATAACCTGAATACGCACAAATTTGTATTGCTCAGCCTATGCAGTTATTTTCCTTTCCGATAATTCGTTTAGAAGTTTAACTGTTGGAACAACTTTACTTCAACAGGAATCATTACTTTGTTTTTTCCTAAAACGACAAAATGCACAATTTTTTAATGCGGCGCACATTCACAGCAGATTACGCATTAATTATACGTTCCACTTACAAGCCTCTAGGAGCCACATTCCTGCTGGAGTAACGCACACTAAGTACCTACCCACCTAATTATTATTTGTATAATTTTAGTAATGTGTTTCCAGTTTTCAACAAAAAGTGGGTCTGTTCTACGACGTGGAGTCTTTAAACAGTAAGGTCGCAGCTCGCTCGCACATCGCCGAGGAGTCCGAAGAGAGTTACCATAACGTGAAATGTTACGCGTGCGATATAAAGAAAGTATGTTTATTTGTTTTTGTTTTAACCATTTTACGCGCGTTGGGCATTTTTCAACAACAAATAAAAGATTTTTTTTTTTTGCGGTCGGAAAAAAACATTGACTGGCGACCCTGTTACCGTTACCGACACCTCTGTATATAAGTATCTACATATATTGGCCCCGTTTACACGAGAGTTGAGTTATACAATAATACACAACAAATTATCCGTGTGGATTAAGAATACGGAGTGTCGCCACCCCTATTCATCTCGTGGGTGTCGTAAGAGCCGACTAAGGGAGAAAACTATGCAGAACAATAGCACTGCAGAGAAAAGGAAAACTTGACATAAACCCTATACCAACCCGTCTGGCCAGCGTGGTATGGTAGGCCAAAACCTCCTTTCTAAGGAGGCTTAAGTCCAGCAGTGGACTATTATAAGTTGTTAATGATGACACAACAAAAGAAAAACATTGATAATATAAGTATATAAAATATAAACATATATTTTGTATATACGTACAACATAGATATATATTTCGATTCGAAAAAAACGAAAAGAAACCTATTTTAATCAAACATTTTTTAATTTTCACTTTTCTCGGCACTCCTGGAGTGCCACGGTTTTTTTAAGGTATAAATGAGCAGACATCATATGATGTAAGTAACCACCAATGCACATAGACACCTGCAACGAAGAGTCGCAACCATAGAGAGAACATGGGGTACAGCTGCCTGTAAGTGGAAGCGATACAGGCAACGAGAGAGACGGATGCCCGATTGGTTTCTGTCTCTGTTTTAGTTAAACTGCGATTGACAGCTTATTAACCCCTCATATTCCCCAGCCAACCATAGAGCTCGACTAGAAAGAGATAGAGGGAACTATCTATTGTCCATCTCTGTCGTTGTCTGTATTGCAAGATTGGGGTCGCAACGCACTAACTCACTGGGTAAAAAGTAAGAAAGAATTGCTTAAGACCGCTTCTGTGAGACCGTAGTATCACTGCCGAGCCGAACCATTTTTTAAGAAACACGGCTTTCGCACAGTGAAATTAACATTATAAGACAATTTGTCAATTATTATACGCCATCATGTGTCGTATGCCATATATTATGGCAATTATGACCCCCATCTGACACTTCCCTTACTCTAACTGCTCGCTTTATCCTTTTTTCCCTGTCCGGTGTGAAAGCTTTTACCTACGTAACTAGAGGGCTGGCATTGGCCATCTATAAAAGAAACAAGCCTTAACATTTCATGTAACAACACATGGGTTGTCGTCTCCAAATACAATTTGGAGTATATTTTACGTTTCTCGAACTCCAATCTTCCAATTGGAATATCTGAACAAGGTGCGTCATACATTTACACATTCCAATGTTAAGTATTTTTGAGGTGTGCGTTACCCCAGCAAAATAATGTCGAAGATGGTCATTTAAACGTTATAGATAATTAGTTGCTCCCCTTCTGTAATTGTTAGGCACATTTTCAAATTTGTTTCACTTAAACTTTTTTAGTTATTTCAAAAAAACATTTCCTGCTGGGGTAACGTTTGAAACGTTACCCCAGCCAGACATTTTCTTTTTTAATTGTAATATTGAAATAAATTTTAGCTAAATAATTAGTTATCTGGACTAGGTAAATGTTACAACTTATTTGGTATTTGTATTTTCTTCGGCTGCGAAGTTATTCGAAATCCTGCTGGAGTAACGTTTGTGGGTTTGCTGGATCTCTGAAACGGGTAAGCGGATTGTAACCATCTTTTGTATATAACTTCTTAAGGATTAGTTTTAATTTGTTCGACAATAAAATAACAAAAAATATGGACAGTTTAAAAATTATTTAGGTAAGTATGAAAACACTTCAATACGTCCTAACACTTTAAATAAGACCTCTAAAGACTTCCTACTTGAAACGTTATTCTATTGCTTGTAACTACCTTCAAATGTATACGAATTTTCGTAAGAATACTGTAAGTGACTAAAAAGTTATGATGAAATGTAGCTCTCCACGTTCACGATCACAATGTGTGCGGCCTTTTTTGGCCACCGATAAACCTGTGTGTGGATATAGAAACTGAATGTTATGCCAATAATTTGTTGTTTAGTTCAGTTGTCTACCTGTAGAATTTCAGCGTCGTACATATAATAATTTACGAGATAATTAAATAAAAGTCATTAGAAGGTGCAAGTCCGTGGTAATCCGACCATGTTTAGGTGGTTACAAAAAAGCGATCAACCAGTACATTGCGCTGTCTTTTAAAATGTTTAGTGTAATACACCTTACGATTTCGGTACAGTTGCGTACAGTGTTAAATACATTCAATATTTATTCGTTATTATTACCTATTATTTATTTTGTTTTTTTCCCTAATTGATCTTAAGCACTAGTTTCTTTACTTAAAATTTCTTTAGTCTTTTTTACTACCGGAACTACAATCAACAGAAAATCTGCACTGGTCCGCTAAAATTATAAATATGTAGATACATGTATGAACGATTCACCCGACTGCAATAAATCGAAAATTTAAACCAATAAGAAACGTTTCATTTCTTTGATTTTTTTTTTGTAAAGAAATAACAATAAAGTAATTGCATTTTATTTTGGGGTGTATAGAGCTTAGACTTGAATGCATCAAAATATTTAAAGCAACAAGTCATCTACAATAAGTTAAAATAGACCGAATAGTAGAAGAATACAGTTGTAAATTAGAATGCATCAACATTGCATCGCCCAACAGTCGTATACCTCGTAAGAGTAGGTAATATTGTTCTGTGGTCTATACCGAGAACCGAGAATTATCTATACCTATGTACCTACCGTTAAGCGTTGAGCCCGTGACTGTTGATTTCTGTTAAAAACGAACAGTTGTTGAATGATATTTTGATATAATAACGGTAATTTAATTTATCGAGTGAAAGTGATACATTTTTATAGATAAAATTATTGGTCGGATAATATTTGTCAATCAAGAATCGCTGATAATACATCCTTCGCTAGAACGCGGGTGGGAAGGGGCGAAGGGATACTTCATTGTTTGCAATTTGCATCTAGTGCACTAAACTTGACCCTTAGGCAGATAATATACGTGTTGTAAAGTACGTGTGCGCTTCCGCTTTCTATTTTTGCAAATATTTATCGTATTCTTGAGAGTTCTTCAATATGTGTGTACCTAATTACTAATAATGGGCATTAATGCTAATTCGATTCAATTTAAGTAATTGTCAATTCTTGTCTTAGGATATTAATTACTAATGCTAATATTGAAATTTCGTTCAGGGTGAACAAATTAAAAACGATCATAACTTGTGGGTAGGTATATCACTTATTACTAATTTTACATAAATAATTTATTTTATTATAATTTAACTCACCGCGATTTTGTGATCAAATATTTTATTTTCTCCAACATTATTACAGAAATAATGCAATACAGAGTTTGTTCGCGATATGCTAGCCTAAGTCGATTCATCACTTAAAAAAATTCCCATCTATTCACAAAATACCTATTTACAACGCATACGTTACACTCTTCAAAACTTAAATTACCTATACCTACCCTAAAATTAAACCTATGAACAACTATAAACAATTCACCTAAACATTACGAGAAAACAAAAGCATTCAAAACAATACCTAATCTCCCGGCTGATTACTAATTATGCAATAAACAATCCTAAATAAAAAATATTTAAAAAACATGTAGTTTTTTGTAACACTTATGTACATATCCGTAGTAAACTTGCAAATAATATCCTACATATTTTAAAAGCCAGCACAATGTACTGGGTGCTCGCTTTTTTGTAACCACCTAAACATGGTCGGGTTACCACGGTCTTGCACCTTCTAATGACTTTTATTTAATTATCTCGTAAATTATTATATGTACGACGCTGAAATTCTACAGGCAGACAACTGAACTAAACAACTAATTATTGGCATAACATTCAGTTTATATATCCACACACAGGTTTATCGGTGGCCAAAAAAGGCCGCACACATTGTGGTCTCGTGGAGAGCTACATTTCATCATAACTTTTTAGTCACTTACAGTATTCTTACGAAAATTCGTATACATTTGAAGGTAGTTACAAGCAATAGAATAACGTTTCAAGTAAGTCTTTAGAGGTCTTATTTAAAGTGTTAGGACGTATTGAAGTGTTTTCATACTTACCTAAATAATTTTTAAACGGTCCATTATTTTTGTTATTTTATTGTCGAACAAATTAAAACTAATCCTTAAGAAGTTATGTACAAAAGATGGTCACAATCCGCTTACCCGTTTCAGAGATCCAGCAAACCCACAAACGTTACTCCAGCAGGATTTCGAATAACTTCGCAGCCGAAGAAAATACAAATACCAAATAAGTTGTAACATTTACCTAGTCCAGATAACTAATTATTTAGCTAAAATTTATTTCAATATTACAATTAAAAAAGAAAATGTCTGGCTGCGGTAACGTTTCAAACGTTACCCCAGCAGGAAATGTTTTTTTGAAATAACTAAAAAAGTTTAAGTGAAACAAATTTAAAAATGTGCCTAACAATTACAGAAGGGGAGCAACTAATTATCTATAAAGTTTAAATGACCATTTTCGACATTATTTTGCTGGGGTAACGCACACATTTTTAAGCACCTACCGACTATTACTTTTTCCAAAATTTAGACAACTTTTTAGTGGGTAAAAAATTCAATTCCCGAGAGGCAGTACAAAATGCCTTTGAAGAGTTTGTTGCCTCCCGTCCAGCTGATTTTTACAAGAAGGGCATCAATAAACTGCCAATGCGTTGGCAAAGATGCGTCGATTGCATGGGTGATTACTTCGAATAACAGAAATAAAAAGTTTGAAAAAATAAGTACTTTCACTTATTGCATACAAAACGGCAATTTCATAGGTAAAGACCTAATATTTATCTATCTATCTGTTTACACATTCCAATGTTAAGTACTTTTAAGCAGTGTCAGTTCTTAAATGTAAATATTTTGTTTCAGAAGCAGTACAACTTCGCTGTGACCAAGCCGAAGCCGCCTCAAGACTTTCTCCCTTCAATTTATTCAAACTGAATGTAACCCTGTGTACGTCACTGTGTTCAAATAAAACAATTTCAATATAATATTGGACAGAATTTATTGGTACATAGATACATTACAAACGGGCTCGAGTCAACATAATTCATATTCGGGTGCGGCGGGTCCGCCCCGACGTCGGCAATCATTTATCTTATGCTGAAAGTTAAAATCGAAACATAAATACTATGTTATATCAAAAGCATCAATTCAATCGGTAAGCGGTTACCCTAACGCGTACGTCGCGTACGCGGCACTTAACATTAAAGCTATACTTCGTGTCCATGTCCGTCACTACGATACAGAGTCGAAAACAAACGCGAAACTGTCAAACATCACAATAGAGCGTATCACAACGAAACCGCAGCACCGGCTCTACGCGAATTAATGTACAACGGCCCGTGCTGCGGCCTTTTTGTCAGGGGAGGGGGGGGGGGCGCAGGGCGGAGGGGGGGCAGCACCTAGAAGTGGAACCCTTCGTGCGGCGCCTGCTTGCCCCCCTCGAACTGGAAGCCCGACTCGCCCGGCGGCGGAACCAACGCCGCGTCCTCCTCCTGCAATACAAACAAACACCAGATCAACACTCTGCTCTCTGAATCCTAGAGACTCGAGCGTCATAACTCCGGCATTAGGAATATATTCCTGTGTCGTTGGGGACGTTGGGGACACTAAGAACAAGAATTTGTGGATCACACAAAGTGTTGTTCCATGCGTGGATCGAAACCACAACACTCAGCGCAGTAGTAAACGGCGAGGTGTACGCTTATACCACTCACAAAGCCTCTGTACTAAAGCATCATTTGTACATATATATATATATATATATGTACCATATAATATGTACCATATATATATATATACCATATATATATACAATGTACCATATACATATATATATATATATATATATATATATATGGTACATTGTATCACACAGCATGGTACACTGTATCACATGGTATGGTACATTGGCAGAATATACGGTGCCACGTATACTTACATCGGTCGCGAAGTATTGCTCGATGATATCGTAGGCCATCTTATAAATGTCCTCCTTCTCGTGGTTCTGCAGCGCCTCGATCTTGTCGATACCGCCGCACTCCTCGATCATGTTGGCCACCTGGTCTGCGTTCTCACCCGCCATCTTTAGCATATTACTTAAACCATCTAAGGCAACCTGGAAATAGTAAATTAATAGTTGCACGTTATTGTGTACATCCCTTTTTACATCTTAACAATAATATAATAAGACAATGAAACTAAGAATAGACTAATAATAGTAGAGACTGAAGCTAATTTAAATGAATATTCATTTTACAACTACTGATCGGCTATTAAATAGCAGGTAACTAAGCTTACAAGTTCATTTCTTGTCTAATTTCAAATAATACATAACAATGAATATGTTAAAAACAAATTTAATTGAAAAATTTTTTTAGTTAATCTAACTCACATAATTTGCCATAAGCATATAGTTATCAAATTACTTTTTAAAGAATGCATTTAGTAAAAGTTGTCTACAAATTCAACGTTTCTTCAATTAACAAATATTTTAATTACTTAATTTTTAGTAAAACTTATTGTAATAAACTCACATTAATAACTTGAGTATCTTTGCAACTGAGCAGCTTGCACAGCGGAGGTATGACTCCACAATTTATGAGTGTAGCCACCTGCTCCTTGGTACCGCTGATGCTAAGATTAGTCACGGCCCAAGCAGCTTCCTTTTGCGTCTGGAACTCGCCCTTGCTGAGGTTTTCCACAATCTTGGGCAGCAGACCTGCCTCGATCACTGCCTGCACTTGCTGTTTGTTTCCTGCTGTGATGTTTGATAGGAACCAGACTGCTTCTTTACAAATCTTTTCTTTCTGTTAAAAAGATACAGTAATGTTATTTACAGAGTACCACTCAAAGTATTTTGCAAACCATCCACCATTTATCTGATTTCATAAAAATCCTATTAAATATATTTTTATAAAGAGGATCTTATGAATATAATAAGTTTATCAACAGCTTCTCTACTGCTATATCTACTATTGGGTTTGCTGGGTGACAGACATATATGTATCACTGGAAAATAACAACAACCGCAAATGTATAAATTTTCTAGGAAATTTATAAACCTTTGTAGGATAACCATATGAGCATGAAAAAACTATTATTTTGATATTACAAACAGACACTTCAATTTTATTTTTCTGTATAGATATATATACTATAAATAACTATAATGTATAGATATTATGTATCTTCCATTTATCTACAACAACATCTGAGCAGTTCAATTGAAGGTTGATGTACCCAAGCCATTGACCAATAAGGTAAATGTGTCAATGAACTTTCGAGTTATAACTAGTGTATAGTGTAGATATTGTAAAGCAGGATTAGGATTGGACATGTTTTTTTTAATGATATGTATAAAAGATAATAATTATCAGAAAAAAAGTTATTGTTAAATAAAAACATTATATCTTCAATTAACATTCTAGGTTACAAGACATCATTTGCACTAACTCTCTTAGCCAAATAACATAAATGTTGTTTGATGTCCAAAATTGCCTATTATGCATGTGTCTAGTCTAGGTTTAATAGTGTAGTCTCTGCTGTTCAGAGTTATATAAAGATTTAGATTGATTGTCTGTGGTTAAGGTTGGGGGAGACACGGCGTAAGCAAATTGTAATGTACTAGTTATTATAGAAAACGTCACACAGAGCTCTCAGGGACAGTACATTTAATTGCAGTGGCTGACACCATGTCACCGTCTCTCCACGCCCGATGTCAGCCCTAAACACAGTCTCAAAAATGCATTACATAGGTCTCTCTGCTAGCTATGTCAATAATTCAGCTGTCAATAATGTTGGCGAGTTAGTAAGAATTGCTATGATTAGTACTACAACTCAAGATTCACAAGTGTACTTTGTTGTACATGAAAATAACTGACCTGATGTGACAATAATGCTGGGAAGTGAGAGAGAGCATCACAATTGAGTACAACTTGTGTTTGTTCATCAGTTCCAGTTACGATGTTGCCTACAGCTCTTAAAGCAGCCGTCTGAAGTTTCACCTCCTTATGTGATAGCAGTGGTATCAACTTGGGCACAATTCCAGATTCTATAACCATTTGAATCTGATCATTTCCTCCGTCCGTTAAATAACTAATGGCCCACACAGTATCCACTAAAATCTGAAACACGAAATATGATATTTACGTATACACACAGAGTATACAGTTTTATTACAGTATCATTAATTCAGTCAATGGATGGACTAGGTACCTATATTATTATAAACTTATTTAACATCCTATGAATAAGGTTTTTAAAAAATTATTCTGAGAAAGGCCAAAAAATCACTGTTCCAATTTCACTGAACATTCTATTCAATATTAAATTTCATAATTTAGGGTATCATTTGAAACAAAACTGTAATACTACACCATTGAGAAATTATCAGTCATGTACATAACACACTGTGTATTTACGTCTCTCATATGAATTAAGCAAATCAAAATCTAGAGACAATAATTACATTTAGAAGCCAGAATAGGTCAATCAAATCCCACAATTGTAAAGTAGTCAATAAATGTAGATATCTATTCTATTCTTTATGAAGGACTTCACAGTATCCAGTATTAAAAGATGAATATCATATTGTTCTTTGCAAAGCCATATTTGGTATCAAGTTCAGCCATCATGCAACTGTTAGTATGTAAACTTCATAGTATTACATTACAATAGGGTAGATGATTTTCAAAACAAATCATTGGCTTTTTATTAAATGTCATGATACCTAGCTATTGTTGTATTATCATCATGGATATGCCACTACACTGTAAAGTGCTTGAACCAGTGAGCACTGTACAGTGTAGCAGCATATCAGAGGTTAATATTCATTTGATGATATGAAATCAATAGACATTACTTAATTATATAATGGAAGACAATTCAGGCTGTACTTTAAGATGTTACATTTAATGATGCAGGGGAAATAATTTATTTTAAACCTAGGAATCTACCCAATTGCTATGCGTTCTGTTTAAACTGGGTCACACTTTGAACAGTTTCCTTCTTTTCTGTAAGAAATTATTCAAATATAGTTTGATGCTTATAAAGAAGTTTATATTCCCTAATGATGTATCAAAATTTAATTGATTAACTTGGTTTACTGATTAAATATTGCCTTTGAAGGGTTTCTCTATTTACTGAACTTTTGCTAACATATACTTAAAATTCTTTCTTTAACAAAGTTTTTTTTTTATAAATTTTAATAGTCAACAAATAAATGATCGTTTAATGAATAAGTTTTCACTTCCAATTTCTTTTGTTTGAAATGCCTTAATTAGAATGCTTGTGATATTATGAATGGAATAATTAACAAAGTTCAAAAGCTATGTAAATTAAATTATAATGAGTAGTTCTGATATTGTCAATAGATTATAAACTATCTTTGAACAAACTAATTGAGTGGATCTACCTACATAAAAAATGAATAAAACTTGAAATATGTAGGTATCTTTTAATAGGGAGTTTTAACCTTTATTGGGAGTCATTCCGCAACAAAGTAATAGAAACTGGGATTTCATTATCATCCAGTTGTATGGTACTTCTTCACATCAACAGCCTTTAATAGTCCACTGCTGGACATAGGCCTCTCCTTAGAAAGGAGTACTCATTAAATGTTTTATTTATTTCTCAAAACATTAAGTATTTAGCAACATATTTAAAAGATAGACTATTTTTGCATTATCATTAATTGCATCAGAATACTGTGAAAGTGTGAAAAAAGTACTTACATTAGAGTCACTGTGTGTTATGAGTATATCAAGGGCTGGAAGAATTTCTTGTATAGTCTTTACGGGTGGTGGCGGATCCTTGCTCCTGCACAGGTTAACGATGACCCAAGTGACATTGCGCAAGAATGCGATTTGGATGTCAGGTTTCACAATGAAGCTGAGCAGGGGCTTTACAACTCCAAGCTCAATGACAAAATCACGGAGGACCGGTCCATCTCCTATGATGTTACCTAGGGCCCAGACAGCCTGCTCACAAACATTTTCATGAGGAGACATAAGAAGCTGCAGGAAGACAGGAACGGCGCCGGCATGAACCACTTTATTAGTCTGTGCTGAAGTTCCTGATGCAATATTTGTTAAGGCCCATGCGGTTTCAAATTGAAGTGTAGGGTTGTCTGCTCTGGAGAGGCACTGTACGAGGATAGGTAGGATACCGGTGGCTATGAGCTCGTCAATCGGAGGGTTCTTGTCCGATGAGAGTAATTTCCGACACTGTTGTACGGCTGCCAGCTGCACATCAGGATTATCCGCAGCAGCTGCATTCATCACCAGCTCCTTCAGGTCCACGGACATGAGAGTCCGGTCAATCTCCTCCTCGTCGGTTGAGTAGTTGATAGGCACATTTCGACGTTTTTGTAAAGTTTCATCTCTTTTATTTTTTCTCAATTCTACTGTGACTTCGTTCCTCCGTCTGCGCATTTCCTAAAAATACATCGACAAGACGTCATTGCACCGTGGTGAATCATACACAGCAAAGTTACGTTGTTCTAAGATATTTTAACAGAGTTCTATACTTACGTCGACATCTTTGCCACTGTTCTTGAAAACATGCATGCGGTTCTTCATTGGATCAGTCGCCATTTTATTTTTGTGCTACTAGTCTCTTTACAAACGTGGTAATTACACAACGAAACAAAGGAACAACATAAAATAATGACGACGAAAACTAATCAAACATGATTTAACGGCACTGTAAGCGTCGGTGATTCATTAACCTCTTTTATATCACGGAATTTTCTACAACACGAAATTGTCCGTTTGCTCCTCGAATTTCTTTCTATAGTTTTTTTTTCGGTTGGATTGACCATAGACAAGATACAACCAATGTTGCAAACATAATAAATCTAGTCTTCTTCTTCTTCTTCTTATTATATGGCAAACTGTGCCGATGTCGACAATTCTGCCAATGTCAAGTGCGATGGAAATACGTGGGTTAAGAGAAATACATAAGAGAAAAGGAATTTGCAAACATTAAGTTTTCCAAAATTAGCAGGTGGACTGCATATGGGTCTTTTGATTGTGGTTAGTACACTGAAACAAACAGACAAATACGAATAAATAAAGTATGTATGTAATATATAAAGAGATAATTAGTAGACAAACACAAATAAACATCACAACATTAAATTAGGTACACAGGTCAAAGTTTGATGCCATTGCAGCGGATGAAAAACATCAAGGCTTGTAAAAGTTTTGGGGAGGAAAAGGTAAGTAGGGATGCAAAGTTAATAGGGAGGGGGATTTTTAATTTAGTTAGGTATGAATAAAGGTCTAAGGATGGATTATTTTTACTACAATTAAAGAAGATGTGGTCCAGGTTGCCTTCATCCAGGCCACACTCGCATAGAGACGAGTCCCGTACCCGAATTTTATTCAAGAAGACAGGTGAGCTGCAGTGGCCAATACGAAGCCTACATATGGTGGAGACAACTTGTTTGGACACCTTTTTAAAATTAAAAAACCAAGGCTTCGGAGGAATGCGTGGTTGTACTGAAAAATAGTACCGGCCTTTAAATTGTGCGGACCTGTTCCATTCCGCCTGCCAGGATGTCCTCAACTCTCTTTGAGGCAGTCTTAGGAGGTCATAGTTATGGTGAACCATATGTTTCTGGTCTGCCATTGAGGAAGTAGCAGCTCTTCTGGCTAACGAGTCTGCACACTCATTGCCCATAATGCCACTATGGCTGGGAACCCAGATCAACTGGACCAATTTGTCACTATTGGAGCAATTGAAGAGGCTTTTTTTGATTTCTAAGATCAAGGGGCTATGGAGTTTGCTATGGAATGGATCTTTTAGCAGGGCTTTAAGACAGCTAAGAGAATCAGTAAATATAGCAGCCTTATAGATGTTGTGCGATTCAACATATAGGCATGCCTCCAATACTGCGACACACTCGCCCGTAAATACAGAAGACTCTTCTGGGCACTTAAACTGCAAAATGATTCTGGAGTTTTGATAGTACACCGCAGCTCCAGTGTAACTATCGCTTGACAGTTTGGATGCGTCTGTAAAAAACCTCTCAAACCCTACCAAGTGGTCATCAACATAAGCGTTAAAGGTGGGAACAGCCGAGGCAGATCCCTTAGGAATTCCCACATCCAAGAACACATTCGGCTTAAAACTAAGTATACTGTAATCAAATGAAAAAAGAGGAAGTTTGTCAAATTTTACAGTTAAATTCGTAAAGGGAAAGTAGTAGCGAAAGGATTGCAGAATCAATGGAATTTCTTTATGTGCCCAGTACTTAGAGGTATTGCAAGTTATGTCTAAGTCAGTAATTTTTGGAAGAAGAGGGTGGGTCAATTTACAAATAAATTTTAAAACAAAACATGAAGCAAAATATTGTCTTCTTAATTTTAGAGGTGGATCTGAGCATTCAGCCTGTAATGCGTTAATGGGGGATGACTTCATGCAACCAGTAATAATTCTAAGACACCTAGATTGGATCCTATCCAGAGTTGCTAATGCGCCTTTATTGCATGGAACCAGTAGGAAAACACCATAGTCCAATATGCTGCGCACTAAGGCATTGTACACTAGCTTCATGGTGTATGGATGGGCTCCCCACCAAACTCCGGCCAGGGCCTTTAAAATTGGGATAGTTCGTTCACATTTTGAGACTAGATGGTTAATGTGGTGAACGCCAGTCAACTTAGAATCTAAATATACCCCGAGGAATTTAAATTTATTAACTAGAGGAATTTCCTGCAGCTGTACTTTGACATCAATCTGTGGCAGAGTCTTCCTCCCAGTAAAGACAACGACTGCGCTCTTCTGTGCAGAGAGGCTAAGGCCGTGGGATGATAGCCACCGCCACAGAGAATTAAGGGAGGTTGTGAGCGATGTGGCTGCATCTTGGATGGAATGGCTGGTTACATACAATGCCAGATCGTCGGCGTATTGTAGTATACTGCAATCATTGTTTAAACATGAGCCCATATCTGCAGTGTACAGGTTGTACAATAGAGGACTCAGTACAGAGCCCTGTGGCAAGCCCCTCCACGTCTTTCTCTGGTCGAACTCCTCTCCTAAGATCCTTAGGACTAGAGTTCGAGACACAAGCATTGCACATATGCAATGGATCATTCTGACCGGAAGTCTCAGCTGGTGCAGTTTTTGCCTGAGAATGGGTAGTAGGACATTGTCATATGCCGCAGTTATGTCGAGAAAAGACGTTACTGTGGACGCACCCTGCGACAGAGAAAGACGGATATCGGTTACCAACACCGCAACACTGTCCATGGTACTAAGACCTTTACGGAAGCCAAACTGATAATTAGGTAGTAGATTCCTTGATTCCACAATCCACTCGAGACGGATTTTAATAAGGTGTTCAAGTAATTTAGGTAAAACTGATGATAAAGCAACTGGTCTGAAGCTGTTTGGGTCTCCTGCATGTTTGCCAGGTTTCAAAATGGGAATAATTATTTGAACCTTCCACTTATCCGGGACCCAACCATTGGTATAGCAAAAATTTAAAATGTTTAGGAAGTAGGATTTTGTACTAGAGCTAGCATTGGCTATAAAAGAGTATGGGATACCATCCATGCCAGGAGCAGAGTCTCGCACATTGTGAAGAACCATGTTCAGCTCCTCCAAGGAGAAAGGCTCATCGTGAGTACCTAGCGACTGAGTTGGAACACTTGGTTGGGAGACTTCATCTAGATGTGGGACATAAGGGGGGGCAATTTTGTCTAGGAGGAGTTCAGCTGTGTCTGTGGAGATAGAGGAAGACACTGAGGGAGAGCATCCAGACCGGAACCGATTTATGTTCTTCCACACAATAGAAGATGGAGTAGATGGGGACAAAGAGGAGCAGAAGCTAATCCAACCAATGCGCTTTTTGCGTCGGAGGAGTCGCTTGGTAGAAGCAAAAACGTTTTGATAATTTAGTAAATTTTGAGTTGACATGTGAGCATTGTATCTCCTTTCGGACTCTTTTCTTAGCCTAATGGCATTAGTACACTCACTGTCCCACCAAGGGGGTGAGGGAATTTTGCCCCTAGAGGAATTCTTAATTTTAAAGCAGCTGTCCGCACTTGACCTAATTGCATCCACAAAGGCATCACAATAGTCCGTCACATGGCCGCGATCATCGTAGGATAGGGATCTGTAGTCAAATCTAGGGAGGGTATGAACATTGGATTCAAGGATTTGAGAGAAATTTCGCCAGTCAGCTTCCGAGAGGTTATATTTTAAGAGGGGAGGGCATGATTTTTCCAGGTGAGTTGAGCTAGGGAGGGATAATAATATTGGGTAATGATCGCTACCATGAGACAAATCCGTGCACCGCCAGCAAGCAGCCGCAGCAACTTCCAGGGAGCAAATGGTCAAATCAACACAGCTTTTGTTCTGACCAGGGAGGACTCTACGAGTGGAGCAGCCATTATTGAGAACACAGAGGTTCAAATCATCAATGATCTCCAACAAACCAATGCCAAAACTGTCACAGTGCTCAGATCCCCATCTAAAGTGATGGCAGTTGAAATCTCCCATAACTAATATTGGGCTCCGTAGGCTCTGTAGCAAGTCTCTCAATATAGGGAGGAAACTCTGCTGGGGGTGAGCAATGTAGATGGAAAGCACAGATACACTACTGATTTTCGCTGCTACAATGCTGATATCATCTGGGAATGGGGGTAAGGGGAGGGGTAATAGAGGGACTCTGTTATTTATAAGGAGGGCTGCACCTCCGTAACCATCAGACCTGTCGCATCTAAGCATGTTGAAATTTGGAACATGGAAGTTGAGACCCGGTAGAAGCCAAGTCTCAGCAAGAGAGACAGCCAAAGGCTTGTATTTATTCAACAAGAATATGAGGTCGTGCTTCTTATGAAACACACTCCTCACATTCCACTGTAGGAATACTTGTTGGGATGCCATTTTTAAAGTTGGTTAATAAGTTGATGAGTGTGTTGGCAACGTTGGACGGTATACTAGAAGGGGATTGAGATAGAGGTAAATTGGAGGTTAATAGAGAAGTCAAAAGCTGTATTATAAGGTCAATAGTAGAAGTCTCGAGTGATGAGTTAAGAGCACAACCATTAGGTTGAGAAGGTTGGGGAGAGTGGATGATAGATTGGTGTGCAGTTGTATCATAGGATTTGGATAGTGTAGGGCGGGGTTTAGGCTGCCGAAGAACAGTTTTTCGGTAGGACTGGGTTTGTTGAAGGGGTTGGGTAGACTGAAGGGACTGGGTAGACTGGATGGGTTGGGTGGGCTGAGAGGATTGGGTAAATTGTGGGGTCTTTAGGGTATCAGCATAGCTGCGAGTAGTAGAAGGGACCACTTTATTTGCTTCCATATAGGAGATGTTTTTTTCCGCCATCATGATCTTAATGGCCCTCTGCCTGCCATACTCCGGGCAAGCCTTGCTGTTGGCAAAGTGACCACCAGAGCATAGGACACAAAAGGCCCCCGTTTCTGTTACCTCACATTCGTTACTGGGATGCTCATGTCCGCACTTGTTGCATCTAGGCCTAGATCTGCAGATAGACTCCACATGACCAAACCTGCAGCATTTCCTACATTGGACGGTGGGGTAAATATATTGCTGTACTAGAAGAGAATTATAGCAGCAGAAAACTCGTTTAGGTAGAACCTGGCCATCAAAAGTGAGGACACAGGATTCTGTTGGCTTCCACTCCAAGATACCTTCATTAAATGATTTTCGGTTAAGACGCCTGACTTTAATAATCTGCCCACAGCCCTGCGGCACTGTCACAAATTTAATTACTTCATCATCATTCATGTCGGTAGGGATACCAGAAACAACACCCATTCTAGTAATGTTATAAGTAGGAATGCTGGCAGTGAATTTATAAATATTTAAGAGGGGGTTAATTAGGAATGCATTAGCATCCTGAGGGGATGAAAACTGTACGGATACTCTATTCCTTCCAACTTTTTTAATACCATCTCTGACAATATTACTTATATTGTTTTTAAAAAGAAAAAGTCCAAACGAAACAGGATGGAGAGTTGTACCAGAGCCTAACTGGCTCTCCACGCGAGAAACATGTACCATGTAGGGACCACTGTCATTGTTTGTGTATTTGTCACGACTAACAAAGGTTTTCGTTTGAGTTTGGAGACGTTTAAGAGGGGGGGCACTTACCTCATCGTTCCCATTTCGTTTCCGTGAGGTAGAAACGAGGGGCCTGGTTTCTTCCACCGTAGCGTTGCAGACCACATTGGCAAACTGTTCTAAGGGGTTGGAAGGGGTTGAAGGTTGATCGGGTAAGGGAGGAATAGGGGTGAAAGGAGGGGTTACTGGACATGAAATATCGGGAGGGTCGGGCGGTTTATTTCCGTTCATGTTCACTTACCGGTAATAATATTTAGTTACAAACAACACACCGTAACCAAGGACAGCACAAAATAACAAAAAAAAAAGACCCAATAGTCACAAAATCACCAAAGGTTTGAAAAAATTCTAGACGCACGTGCTAACCAAACGAACGACGCGACAGAATCCCAATAAATCTAGTCATCCAATCTAGAGTTTCTAGTGTTTTGTCATTACACTCACCAATAATAAAGCTGTCAAACAGAGTAAAAAATCGTAGTAGGATAAAGTAACTCGACTAAAAATATTTAGAGCCCAAAATAGTGTTGCCATCAACATAATAGTATAAAATTGTTTTTACGCCGGGTAATGATTTACCATGTTATTGATGTATTTCTCTCACAGTACGCACTTCCGCGTTTGCTGTATTCGGTATAGACGTGTATGCTGTCGTAAAGGAAAAAATAAACAATTGGTTAACAAGAACATCTAAAATAATATTGCAGTGATGACGGTGATAACGAAGCCAAGGCTTACGGCCAAGAAAACTTTATTGATCGATGAGAACCAATGTGACGAAGTACGTATGAACATATTTTTATAGGTGGAACCTGCCCTTGTCCGATATAATTGTTTATTGATCGAAGGTGCGATTTTTATTAAAACAGATGCACCCTATATTCTTGTAATATGTCAATTGAATACTTAGTAATAAACAGTTTAAACAATCACGCCAATAAATTTCGTCGACTAACATTGAATATAGAAGTTTAATTTTATTCATCGGTACGTAATAGTTTGTAGGCAACCTGCAACATACATCTTGAATGCAGGTATCGATTTTCTTATAAAGCTCGACATAGACGATCGTTTCAGTAGTTAAAGCTAAAATAAGATGATGTCTAAGTATTATTTATTTCATCGTAGGTAACATATCGTAATCGTTTTAACAAAAAATAAATTACTCTCTTATTCACACTTCTTGTTTACAAATATGTGTCTGCATTTATGTTATTACAGCTTGGTTTGAGAGTTTCTCAGAGAAGACAAAGATTTTGTTGGTGTTTTTAAACGTATAGATCTGAAGATATGACTAAGACAATGATTTAGTTAATGTTTTTGTTGATTGTACATTAGGATCAGTACGCATAGTAATATTAATTCATTAATAGAATGTTCTCCAAGGCAGAGTTTTGTATGAGTTGTTATGTGTACCTTGTCGCATCAACCAAGTTAATATTGATCCCACCGAGCGCTGTCCTTTGTAATAACGGCTTATTTCGTTGGTGAAGATATTACACATCATCAGTATGATCTACTAATGAAGCAGTAGATCACACGGATGGCTAAATAGTCTATTGATATACTGGTTTTAGTTTCTGAAAAATATTAAAATTCTATCAGATCTTGGAGTCCTTGCATAAAATACTTACAGGAAAGTATGCACTATGGCATCCTTGATGATGTAAAATTTAACGTTTTTAAAGTAAAGTTAGATTTAAAGTTAGATTTTGTCCCGATCTTCGAATTTGGACAAAACTTTCTACTAATTTGAGATTCCATCTGGCAACACTGCCCATTAATGTGCACGTGCCCTTGTAATTATTCCGATATCATATTTTTTTAAAGTAGAGGGCCGGCTAGATTTAAATCTATTACAAGGATAAAATGTTCTTGTGACCAAATTTTACGACTGCTAACTATTTTCATAAACACTAAACAGAAAATAAAGTATTATTTTTCTTCGTAGTTTTATTTCTATAGAACAAATTTACTTCCAAGAAAACTATTTAACGGCTCTCGGACTGTTAATGCCATAAAACAGAAAATCTGTGTTAAATTATTCTTATTCTAGTTTGTGTGGTGACGGATTAAGAATACGGAGTGTCACCAGTCATCACCCCTATTCATCCCATGTCTGTAGCGGAGCAGCGGTAGCCCCTTACCATCGGGTAAAAGTTACCTGTCTAATAGTTTGCCTCTATAACATAAAAATACAATTCAACATCTATATACCTAACATACCTACTCATGGAAATCTAGGTACTTTTCGCTAGGAAACTTTTTAATTACTAATTATATTATTATTATAATATAAATGTATAAAAACATAAATTAATTAACCTTATAAAGACTATACAGCGACCAAAAGCTGGCTGATGTAAGCTGACCTTGACCTTGTTTGGAAGAAACGCTGTTTTACAATGCTACTAAATAAAACAAAATTGCTTGTTAAGCACTGGACGTAGGGTCCCAACAATATTCAAATGTCATCCACTTTATCTTCCACTGTCGTTTAATGACGTCACTCGTCGTCTTCTCTTGTGACGTTGAGACAGCTGCACTGGCTGAGAGAAGAATTAAAGTTTGGTAGATCTAATAAAAATATACGTAGTACAATAGAAAGGATAAATAGTGCAGACTCCACCATCCGCTGTGCACTAATGTGTCTTTCATCCAACACGCGATTCGTGAATTTTCGCCCGCAATATGTCGTTTAAAGCTTAAATTGCTTCCCCGCTCCTTGCGTATATTAACGATAGGTTTACCTTGTTTAATAAATGTTTATTGCAACTTATTAACGGTAATAAAATTAAATTGATATTTTTGCGTCTTAGGTTAAGTTTTCGCTATAACGCGGATCAACGAAATCATGCATCACGGTGATTCTTAAAACGTTAGTAAAATGTTTACTAAAAACTAAAATTAAATAGATTTCAAAGAAAATTAAACTGGTGATGGTGACCAGTAAAAGCAATTGATTGTCATGAGATGACAGATTGGTCCAAGTGTTACTACAATATGAAAACAGAATTACCCAACACATTTTCTAATTTTTGCATAACACTTTATTTATTAAAATATTATTTGTCTAAATCTTACTTACTTAAGTACTTACTTAATTTATTTTTAAAGTAAAATACAGATTGTAAATGTGAATATTTAAGTATTTTTTATTCAGTATTGAACATTATTGGCTTTCTTCTTTCTTTCCAATGGTTTTGTAGTTTGCAACACATACGAGTTCTTTTGTTCACAATTCATCTAGAAAATTAACTATGATCAGCAGCAAGCGATGGTGGACATTTTTTTATGATAGTTTAAAAATTAATCAGTTAGTAAATGGTAATCGATTTTATTTAGGAGGAAGTTGAATTCGATTAAAAAATATGTAAAAAGTACATTAACCCCAAATACTGCATCCGTTTAATAAATAAATTACCGCTTTTCTTTTTTGTTCTTCTTTTTTAAAAAAGATAACTCCCGCATTAGGAATATATCCTGTGTCGCGGGGGACTTTACAAACATACATGAAACGGACACAAAGAACACCCAGACTCAGAACAATTTGTGGATCACACAAAGTGTCGTTCCATGTGGGGTTTGAACCCACAACACTCGGGGCAGTATTATTAAGCGGCGTCGCGACCGCTTAAACCACTACGCCATCCGTGCAGTCTAGGCGTTACTCGCGGTTTTAACTACGTTTGTGATCACTGCTTTGCTAATAAGGATCGTAGCATGATGTTACATCAGTGTTAAACGTTCATTAATTAATGCTCTGCTTAAAACAACTAAAGTATTATTCAAATCTGACTAATAGTTCTAGATTTATTTTTATGAAATCCTTCGAAATTGTGTATTATATTATTGTTGCACGGTTTTAATGTAGATATTACTGAAACTACTAAGTTCTGGTTCCTTTGACGAGTAATTAATTTTACTATTATTATAATAGGACTTATATACAGGATATCTTTATTGGCAATTTTGATCTACATTAAATGCATAACGTATCTAACGTACTTATTTGGATAAGACATTATATTGTATTGTTCAAAATACCTTCATAAATTACCCATTATTTTTTGTAATATGTAAAAGATGAAAATAGATACTGGGTTTTCTTTAGGAGATAGACATATACCATCGCGGACTTTTTTGTATTATTTATTTATTATTATATTTAAGGCTTAGCCAGCTTTCGCAACGTAAGCGCACAAAAACATGTTTTTTAAGAGTAATTAAGTAAATTAAGAGTAAATATTATACGTATAACCTTCTTCTTAAATCACTCACTCTATTGGTGAAAACCATATTAAAATCCCGTACTTATCTTAAAGATCTAAGCGTAAAAAAGAAGACTTCATTTTATATTCTGCAAAGATACACACCTATATAATTTAAAAAAATACCGTTGTAAACTGTGACAGCGCTGTAGCGTCGAATTTCAAACGAATTTAGTTTGAAGTTCGACGCTGTGCGAGTCATAAATGCGTTTCAGACAATGACCATTGCAACAGACATGGAAATTATTGCTACTTTTAAATCATAAGCATATGAGAAAATGACTGGTTTTAGTCACTGCGATTTATAGTCAATTGCGAGTGCGAGTCAAGATAAATGCCATCAAAATTATGGAGGGTGGAGGCAAGGAGAGCCATCTCTGTGTATAAAAAGTGTATTTAAAAACTGGACGCGTTTGTACATACACTTTTTAGATAAGGGTGGCGCTGCGGTAGCCTAGGATAAATTTTAAAGAAAGCGCCAAAAGTAATTAGAATAAGATAGACTAATAAAATAGTTAAGTATAGTAGCTACTCTCGTCATGATTTTTTTTAAATATTTGAATTCATCACACTTCACTCTATCTACAACTGCTATGTTCATATCGTAGTTTTTCAAGCGACCTCTATTTTATATTCTAAATACAAACGTATTATCAATCATATGATTTATCACAGGTGATTGTGATTTTATTCGATCCCTAGTACAAAGCAAAGAAAGAACTGCTAATTAACGCTGGTTTTCTGTAAGGCCTTTTGTATAACTCCGGTCGAGGCAGCCTATGCGCGCAGAATGGCTCTCCCACGAATAATGTCCATCTATAACCGCTATTTACAAAAGGCTGAGTGTTATGAGAAGATATCGACCCAACAAATCCAAGGCCATGCTTTTCAACCACCAGACAGTTATAACAACATTTGGAATCTTGTATTACGTTATAAGTTAGATTGACTCACAAAACGTTTTTGGGTGGATTTACTCTTGTACTTGTATGGCATAGGGAGGGCAAACGAGGAGACTGGTTACCTGATGGTAAGTGGCTACCGCTACCTAGAGATACTTGCAACTCAAAAAGAGTCACAAGTGCGTTGCTGCCCTTTGAGTCCTTTCCGAGAATTCGAGGGCAGGTGCGAGGGGGGGGAGGGGGAAATGGAGGTGGGGGGGGGGGGGAGTTTGGGCGCTTTTGCTTAACGTTTTCTGTCTCAGGCATAGGAGACCCATGCATGTAAACATGGATCTCCCACTAATATAGGTATTTATATGTAATCTTGACTTTAACGTTTTTATTGATGCTTATATTTGTGTCCATTGTAAGATTTATAAAAACAGTTAACACATTACGTGAGCGATCATTATCAACAGCCTTTAATATTCCACTGCTTGAAATAGGCCTCTCCTTAGAAAGCAGGTTTTGGCCTATTATACCACGCTAGCCCGACTGGTTGCTATAGAGTTTGTGTCAAGTTTTCCGTCTCTTTCCAGTGCTCTTTCCAGTGCTCTTGTCCTGCGTAGTTTGCTCCCTTAGTCGGCTCTTACGACACCCACGGGATTAATAGGGGCGTTGACGCTCTGTTTTCTTAATCCGTCACCACACGTTATTATGTCACACTTCAATATACCTTAGTGTGGACGATTCACACGTTGACAAAGGGAACCTGTTGTCTCCGAAACACTTCTTAACCTTCTTTATTAATGTATGTACGTTTTGCAGGAGGTCATCGACGTTCATCCATCACGCTCGCTCCACAGACGCTACAAATGCGTGATGACGTGCATGGGGGTGTTCGCCGCCCTCCTCGTGTTAATGGGCGTGATTACGGCCATGCAGATATATGAGCAAGTTATGCTTGATATGCAGCGTCATAATCGCTACCAAGGATTCTGCTCCATCCCGCTGTCGCGCGTACGTATTTATTGAAAACTGTATTGGGACTTAGTACAAGTTTAGATGAATTTTGTGATTTGTTTTAGAGTTTATCGTTCTTTACTTTTGCGGGTTAAATTACTTTAAATATCAAATTCAAAACCCATGTAACACTGAAATCAACTCAAATCAACCGTTGAACTAAATTTTTTTTTTAGTTTCACCGTTTTACCGTAATTAAAAGTTATTTCTATTTCGCATCAATAACAAAACCTATCCTTAGCGAGATAAGGCTCACAGTTCTATGAATTCATCTCGCGACAAGGTATTAGTGTTTTTTTTTGTTATGCCAAGCAATTTAAGTCTCATAATTTGAGCAATCAAGACGTAATAATGATCACTATTGTTTGCTGTTATTGACAACATGACATGAAAACGTCATAAACTCTTACTAAGAGGCGCCGAATAAAATAAAACTCTCGACGCGTTTTGTTGTGCCTAATGAGTTATCTGTTTTAACTTTTAACGATTATCTCAGAATTATTTATTGATGTTAATAGTTAAAAAAAATGTGTTAAATTAAACGTTTAAACTTTTAATTCTCACCTCAATGTACAACTGTATTAGTAGATAACAGTAGGCAATTATGGTCTTACCGTCCCGTTTATCAGTGTGTGTCACCATCCATGGGATGACCCACGGGTGTCGTAAGAGCCGACTAAGGGAACAAACTATATAGTACAACAGCACTGCAAAGAGAAAGAAAACTTGACACAAAGCCTTCACCAACCCGTCTGGCCAGTGTGGTATAGTAGACCAAAACCTCCTTTCTAAGGAGAGGCCTATGTCCAGCAGTGGACTAGTAAAGGCTGTTGATCACTATGAAGTATGGTCTTATAAACATGATTCAATATCGTAAGATTTTAAATTCTCCCTCAGTAAAATTGCATTGTTTACAAAAACATGTCTACTTGTGTCATTCTGGGTGTTATTATGTATTTAAAAAAAGAGTAACGAATTCAAGTATATTATTATTTGAGAAGACTGCTAAGCTAGAATGGGTTTGATTCCCAACCAGGATAAATAATTGTGCGATGAGTACGAAAAGAAATAGAAGATAAGACCGCGGTCAAAGATAATATCTACTTCCATACTTTTTAAAATTAAAAATGTCATAGTGAGTTTGTTTGTTACGCTTTCTAAACCACTGAACCGATTTCAAAAATTCATTAACCAACGGAAAATGCGTTTCGAACATTATCAGCGAGAAACATATGCAACTTTTTACCGCGAAAACGGACACAGAAGCGGGCGGAGACGGGGGCAAAAACGAGTTTAGTAATAATATTAATAACCATTATAGGACATAAAGCACTTCTACCTAGCCTTAAGTAAATATGGGGTATACTACCTTTATTTAACGTTTACTTTTATTTGATCATCTTCCAGGATATTCAGATGCTGGAGCAGCGCAAGACGCCTTTGCACTGGACGGCTACTGAAACTGCCGGCCGCGTTGAGCCTGAAGTGCAGGTATGAAATTATTAGCATTCCGAAACGTATAGATGGCCACTCCACCAAAAATATGAAAAATCCTTCTTAAAAAAAAGTTGAACTATTCAGACAACACTAACAAAGAGCGCTCAAAACATAGTAGCAATCGCGGTTGATTTGCTGTCATTTTTTGAAGAGTTCCTTTTGTCTGTCTCTGAAACATATCATCAGATCTATATGAAATTTAAATGGGACCATTGTGAAATAAACCCATTTCGAACAAAAAAATAATTATGAAAATCCGTTTATAAATGACGGAGTTATATCTGAACATACAAAAAAAAAACACACGAATTGATTACCACCTCCTTTTTGACTGCGGTTATAAAAGAAAACAACCAATAGCTGAACGACGTTGAACAAAGCGTTCAACTAGAATCGCCGTGGGCCTGGTGGTGGTGATACCATGGCCTCACTGCAAACAATCAATTGTTAAGCAATTCTTTCACTGCTTTTCACCAAGTAAGTGAGGTTACCGAAGCATTTATCATTAGGTATACAAACATGATAATTATACAATTTGATTCTTTAGACCTTTGATTTGAAATTAGGACTGAAATGAAGTTAAATTGTATTCGTTCGTTCGTTTATTAAAGTTATTCTTCTTCTAATCGTGCATGTGTCGCGCAGTGCTCGGCGAGGCGAATGGCGTTTAGTCTTAGTTATCGCATACCTACGTTGACTTAACCCGTGTAATGACGGATTAGGAATACGGAGTGTCACCACCCCTATCCATCCCGTGGGTGTCGTAAGAGCCGACTAAGGAAGCAAACTACGCACGACAACAGCACTGCAAAGAGAAGAAAAACTTGAAACAAACCCTATATTAACCCGTCTGGCCAGCGTTATAGTACATCAAAACCTCCTTCCTAAGGACTATTAAAGGCTGTTGATGATGATGACCTTAACTTTCTGCGACATATATCTAAATTGTTCAACATCCTTATTTATGTCAACTTGTCCATCAGGTGATTAGCATTTTGAATGAGGATCCCGAGCACATCTTTGACTTGCTGCGTGAGGTGCTCGATATTGACCTGGACGATTCCGTGGAGAAAATTTCAGTTTTCAACAACGGTCGCCCAATCACTTTCGTGCACGACTTTGAAGCCAATGTATCTGGTAAGTAGACTTAAATGTAAATGCAAAAGGGTGGACTCTCTTGCCTTTTCTTCTCCGTTGGATCTTGCAACAAGCAGTAAGATTCAGAACTGACTTATTCTGATTTCCTTTAAATGAACATTCAAGAAGACCCGAAAGTACCGGTAAAGACCTGGAAGTAGACAATTTAGATTTTGTTTAGAAAAAAGGTTTTATAGATATTCATCACATTTGATTTGCCATCTAAAATATCGATAGTTTAGCACGGTCATATAAAATCAGGAATTCTGAGCTGAAGTAAACAAAAATCATCAAAATGTTCAGGTATAATAGACGTGGAGCGCTGCTTCACGATGGAGCTGGACCCGTCGCTGGTGCTGCGGCCGGAGCCGCTAGTGGAGGGGCTGCAGCGCGGGGAGGAGTTCGACGTGACGCGCGTGCGCAGCTCGCTGTCTGCGGCGCTGCCGGCAATACGCGATAAGGAGAACCCGTCGCACGCCCTGCGGGAGCACTGCGGTGGCCTCGGCAAGCCTACCTACATGCTGCGGAAGGACGAAGAGCGCATCAGTAAGTGCCCACACCACTATCATTCACCGTTCTTGATTTAACACTCACAATTTACAATGGGTTGAAATAACAGAACCTTTTTCCTGTTATTTATACAGGATATTAGGAAAACCGTTTCCATAAACGCAATCAAATATATTTATATACAATGTTAACAAATAAGACACACAATATAATAAATAACCAACGAAATGTGTACTAAGTTCACTGTATTATCAAATTTTATACTTAAATTTACTACCATATTTAGCAGAAAATAGTTTTCTGCTTTAGCTGGATCTCGCGGCGGTAAGACCCGTTATGGAGGATTGGCTCGAGAGGCGTCACGGGACCCTCTCATATCGACTGACGCAGGTGATCACTGGGAAAGGATGTTTTGGGGATCACCTGTGTCTGATCCGCAAGGAGCCAACGCCTGAGTGCCACCATTGCGATGGCCAGACCGTGGACACGGCTCTCCACACGCTGGCAGAGTGCCCGGCGTGGGTTGAGCAGAGGCGAGACCTCGTGGCGGCCATCGGAGTGGGAGTTCTCTCGCTCGATAGCCTGATTGCGGCTATCGTGCGGAGCGAGAGTGCGTGGAACTCTGCCGTCTCCTTCTGCGAGCAAGTTATGCTCGCGAAGGACCGCGGACCGGGAGAGGTTTAGAACTCTCTCGGCCCGCCAGGCTCGGGAACGGGCCAGGTACCGCAGGCGACTCAGGCGCCGGAGGTCACAGAACGACCTCCGTCCTCCATAAGCGCAGGCCTGGGGGTGACAGGTGAGGCCATCTGTCACCCTAGCAGAAGCAGGCCGGGGTGGCGGCGAGCGCGTTGCGAAGCGCGCTCGCTTCCAGGGAGCAGAGAGAACATGGGGTTCCCACACGGGGGGGGGGGGGGATGGTCGTCTACTTGTTGTAGGTGGATGAAACTGTAATTTGTTTTTCTGATGTAAGTGAATAGTTAATGTTATTCTTTGTGAGAAATAAATTATACCTGATAAACGAAGACAGTCTATAGTACCTTAGATCATGGGTTAAAAAAAAAAAATCCCAAAGCGCGCACAGATTTTTTGGATCACTAATTTCGTTCATTTGTTCGCTCGCAACTTAGATAAAGGTCGGGAGAGTTAAGAATTAGCGTGTAACCCGTCCTTAAATACCGTATAAACAGTCCTTAAATACAAGTCAAGTTTTATTTAAGGACTGTTTCGTTTTCTATTCGTGACTAACTATTAACAAGTGAACTTTGATTTGTGCTTCTGATACTGTTGATGGTGATGACCTCTACGAACGAGGAATATATAAAACTAGTCAGCTAGTTTTATATATTCGTACGCGCAACATCGTCTGCGTCTCTCAATAGTAATAAATTTTCTCCGTTTTTGAAACATTCTTCATTGGTGCTCCGCTCCTATTGGTCTTAGCGTGATGCTATATAGCCTATAGCCTTCCTCGATAAATGGGCTATCTAACACTGAAAGAATTTTTCAAATCGGACCAGTAGTTCCTGAGATTAGCGCGTTCAAACAAACAAACAAACAAACAAACAAACAAACAAACTCTTCAGCTTTATAATATTAGTATAGATTCGCAAACGAAACAGTCCAAAACTATAGTTTTGGACGGTTTCGTTTTCTATTTTTTCCAGTCAAGTTTTCAACTAGGTACTACCGGGTTGTACGCTTATTCTTAACACTTCCAGTCTTTCGTCTTACTTTTTTCCTATTAATTCTGATAATATCCTAGACTATTATATCTTATTAGATAGCTGACAATATGTACATGTTTTTTAATAAATCTGCAGTTTAACTGTCATAGATCATTTTCTTTTCTTTTTTAAAAAGACAACACCCGCATTAGGAATATATCCTGTGTCGCGGGGGACTTTACAAACATACATGAAACGGGCACAAAGAACACGCAGACTCAGAACAACAATTTGTGGATCACACAGTGTCGTCCCATGCTGGGTTTGAACCCACAACACTCGGCGTAGTAGAAGGCGGCTTCTTTTTGCTATTATTAAACATCTACTTCGGTACAATTTGTTAACTACAATTTTAGTTATATTAAAATTATGAAACAATTTATCAACTACACAAAAATGGTAAAAAAAAGTTCTAAAAAAAATCTATTTGGCAAATTTCGGCGATTTTTATAAATAATCTTAGTCCAATATCTTGAAAATGATTAGGTTTGGGATATAGTATGTCATAGCGAAATCTATCAGCAATTATAACCACTACAACCCCTTAAAGTATCTAGATCGACTTAGCCAGTGACCCGATATATTTAAAGGATCAGTTTAAGATCTGCCAAATGTAATAACATACACAGATCTTTTTACCTTGCAGATATACACAAAACAAAATAAACTTAAATGGTGGATATATTTTGTTAAGATGCTGCTTAAAAAATTTACATTAAGTTAAGAAAAATGTGTTCATTTCAGTTCGCAAGCGTTCTGTCGACGCGCCCCCTCACGACTACATGGAGTTCGCAGGAAAACGCGTCCAGGAAATTCAGATCAGTAATTTAGCCGAGTTGCTAGAGTTTGAACAGAAGAACAAGCTGGCGGCTTAATTGTGAGGGGAGACAGGTGGAAAGTAAGCGGTGTGGATGTAGGAACCATAATGTGAAAAGGTGTTTGAGATTTTGCAGAATAATTTTATTGTTGTTTGTCGAATCATATAAAAGTTTGAATAGAAAAAAGACAATCCTGAATCAAGCGTAAGAAACCATCTAAAGTAAAAGATCTAACAAGTTATAAAAGGAATTTTATTAAGGTGGGTCTCGAAGGGACATCCTTTGCAGCACAAAATGGTTTTGAAACTAAGGCTTCCGTTAAAACGTGCAAGTAAACTGTCGGGTAATGTTTTAAGCACTAAGCAGAGAGTCATGAAGGAGCATCTCAAATTACTTCAGACAAATAAACACCTTGTCAATCACAATAAAAAGTGTCATATTGTGTGGGGAACCATTGTTAACCGCTGTCCAATTCATTTATGAGCTCGACTACATTGATTGACTGCTTAAAATCTATATTTGACGTAAATCTCTTTTTAACAAACAGTATTGAGAACCTTGGATTAATGTAGATTTAGTTAGTTGTATTTGCCCTGCAACCACGTAACTATATCGCCTGCAAAGGAAAAAAAATACAGTGAAATATAGAATCTCCTCCTTTTTGAAATGGGTTAATAATATACAGACGTTTTTGAGTCTGGCTATTATTGTGGATTGTTGAATTTCTAATGAGAATATGTAGAATATCGATTGTCTTTTCGATACGCACACAGATAAATTATAATTTGTTGTGAATATAAAATCGGTAAAATTTTGTATCATGTTAATTTTCACTTTTAAGTAAACTGTTTATTTCGCCGTTTTCTTGGACTTGTATTTTCAATATTATTGAGGTATTTTGTTAGTTTTACTGTATGATGTATTGTTCATTCCAGGAAAGTGGGAGTTTTGGTGATCAGCGTAACATGGTAGATTACAATAGAAATCAATTTAAAAAAAGTTTCTTATAGTTCTTTTTACAAAAAGACAGTTTCAATTTCAGTTAGTAATTCTGTGCCAAAATTGTAAAACAACATTGTGAGATTGTTACGCTGATTTTTTTTCCTATATCCACATCTAATACAGACTAGTTATGAAAATAAAATAGTCCAATCATTCATTATAAGCGTTATAAAATTGATGTTTTAGACTAAGAATTGTTTCAATTAGAAGTCAGACCATAATTTTTAGTCGATTATGGACACTAAGTTGTATTATATTATTTTTAGTGATTTATTTCGTCACTTAGTTCACCAGTGCCATTTTACTGCATTTTAATAATATAATATTTAAGAATAATATAATTTTAAGAATTATTAATGTAGTGCACGTATCCAGGCGTGCTTTAAGCACAGATAATATAAATCGTAATTGTAATCTCAAAGTACCTCTTTTCAAATTAAATATTATTGAAGTCCAAATCCTGAGAAACAACACGGCCTTTAAATACAAATGTATTAAAATTAATTTTCTGAAACTTAAGAAGGCATATTATTTTTTAAATATATTTCGTGTTGTTCCTCAGATTCTTTGTCAATGTAAAACGTTGACATTTCTATTTATTTACCTGGCAATGCATTAGTTGACCAAAGACATGTGTTTATGATTTTTTTTAAACCCTTGCTATTGGCATGCCAGTTAGCAATATTTCTCACGAATATACACGTGATCCTATCAACTGTTATTTCTTTTTAGCTTTCATGTAAGTGATTTATGATGGAAATAAAAATAAATACTCAAATCGTTGTTTTATTTATTGTATAATATTTAAATTAGCAACATACTCATCTGCAGGAAGGTTTGGGCTAATTAATTTTATGGTCTACCGTCTGCCTGTCGCCAACTCTCCTTGGGAACCTCGTCGTTTATACGGTAGGGAAGGGAAAAAAGGAGATATTGGGGATTGGAGGCTTTTATGAGAAAGAAAAATTAGGGTCTCGGGTACCAGTCCGTCCAGTGGTCAGTTTCAATGATAGAGTAGAATGGAAGAACCATACTTACTGCGCCGACCCCAAATAAAATTGGGATAAGAGTAGGCAGATGATATTTTTTTTTTTACTTATATTTTATACATCTACTAGGCAGAGCCTGTGCTATGGTAACCAGACTGCTGATAAACATACATATATTTCTAAATACATACATATTATAGATAAATTACACCTAGAGAGAACAAATCATCGTGCTCATCACACAATTATTTGTCCTGGGTGGGAATCGAACCCACGACCTCCGGCTTAGCAGTCAGGATCACTAACCACTAGACCAACAGGCCCCTCACATTTTTAAAGATTAAATTAGTATCTAACATTTTTAAGTTCCATAATTTGTGACGGCTTTCAAAATACAGTGTTATAGTGCTGCGCCGTCTGCTTTTCGTCATTCGAAAACTTTTATTTTCAAGTAGTTGTGGTAGTACAAATACCAAGGTTCCAATGAATTATGTTATAACAAGAAATAATAATAATAATATTTCGAACATTTAACACACAACGCCATCTTGTTTTAAACTAAGCAAAGCTTGTACTATGAAAGCTAGATTGACCGATAGAATACTTGTAAATACATAAATCTATATATATATATATAACAGATTTATACGTATATAGTCACTCATCACGATACCTCTGGAACCATTAGAGCTAAAGACTTGAAATTTGGTAGGAATATTCTTTTCACCGAGTAGATGTCAGCTAAGAACGGATTTTAAGAAATTAAAAAATAATAATAATTAAATAATGTAAATAGCAAAACAACGTTTGCAGGGTCAGCTAGTATTATATATAGAAAATACCCAAAACCCTGAAACAAATATTTCCAGATCATACAAACATTTAGTCCGACCCGGGAATCGAAGCCGAGACAGTACAGCAGCCGCATACGCTACCGCTGCACCACCGAGGCAGTCGAAACTAGAAAAGAAGTAGAAATAAACGCCTTACGTTCTTTAAGGGGTTTTATTAGTTGTAGGAGTTTCCCTTGAATTATTAGATACTAGCTGAGACCCGCGGTGTTACCCACGTTTGTTGTTATAACCGCGGGCAACGCCGCGGGGCGAAGCTAGTCTAAAAAAAGTAGCCTAAGTTACTCCTTATGTCATCAGCTATCTGCCAGTGAAAGTCCCGTCAAAATCGGTCCAGCCGTTTCAGAGATTACCGGGAACAAACAGACAGACAGACAAAAATTGTAAAAATTGTTATTTTGGCATATATACCGTGTAAACATACATATGCATTTAGTAAAAAGCGATTATTTTAATATTACAAACAGACACTCCAATTTTATTTATTTGTATAGATGTATAGATGAGTAAAGACGACAATTGGAGAATTTCATGGAAAAAAAAGTTCTATTAATTTATTGACCGATGACAGGTTTTTTTTTAATATTTTATTTACATACATGCTTAAAAATGCCTGTATTAGGCCTCTTGATGACATAATTCACTGATTAGAGATGGCCCCGAGCACTCTGGTATCGACTAGTATCATATGTTCCCTGTGATGATCAGTCTATAATCTTTAGGTCTTTGATCAACCTGACCATTACCGGTTCTTGCTTTTTTTGGTAATTATAGTAGAATATCAGGTTCTGGTTTCTTCCTAAAACTAGTTGTTATTCTTACATAGATGGCGCTCTTAACTTACAATCTCTTTCAACTTAAACATTACAATGATTTTCTGTACTTCACACAGGTGGCGCATAGACAATGTGAAAACTCTTCCGTGGTTTTTTGATATATGATGGTAAATATTGTAAATACACATTTCTTGGTAGCTCATTAAACAGTACGAAACAGATTTGCAAAGACATTTAAACTTAAACCATACCGTATATTGATAAAAAAATCTTTGAAGCAAAAGGAAGGAATTTCGTATTTCACTTTTTTTGGGCTTGGGATCACGTCATCTGCAGAGAATATCACAAAAAAAACTTTTCAAATCCCGGGTGGAAACCTTATTTCGTAATATTTTGACGTGAATTACTATGTGAAACATTTAAGTCAAGAGAGATACATATCTACATCGTGTGGTCCGCTCAAAAAACAGAGAATCACTCAGAAATCTATTGAAATTACGAAAGTTACTACCATTAAACGTTATTTGATCCGGGTCCCCCCTTAATAGCAGAACTTTTTATGTCATAATGTTATTTTACATAACAACGGATAGCATAAACTACATTTCGCAGAAAATCGTTTGGCAGACACTCATTTATCATACATTCAAAACTCATAATTCTGTAAGTCATAATCATCTTAAGGTATAAACTTCATATCCATAATAATTAAAAAGTAGAACCATCATATCGCCGAAAGTTCATAGTCAAAATCGTCTTTGAGTATAAATTTCATATCGATAGTCGTTAAAACGCAGAACTATCATATCTCAGAAAGTTTACAGTGAGAATCATCTTTTGGGATGTATTTCATATCTATAACAATTGAAATACCATCATTACTACTACTAGACTATCATTTTGTATTTCTTACCATAAAAATAAAATTGATTGATTGAACAAGTAAATATTTTTTCACGATGGATTTGGTTTTTATTTCCCTATAAGAAGCATGCAAACAAGCATACACCATTCATGCAGGCAAGCACGCAGCATACAAGTAGGAATGCAGGCAAGCATGCAGCATGCAAGCAAGAATGCAGCATGCATCATATCAGTCACGCCTCCGGCGCTGCGGAACTCTGGCGGTCCCACCCGAGCTTATCGTCGCAGATGAATTCAACGTTCATCAGCGCAGCTTCGCCAGCCAGCCTCAGCTCGCGGGCCGCCTCGCCCCTCCGCGCCTACGCGGCCTTAAATTATACTCTAGGGGTATTGCAGACACTAGGGTATACCTGGTTCCCTGGCTATTAGTACCCGAGACGGCGTGCGGTTTTAGTCGGTTCGAGTCCGACATGCCACCGATAGGTGGTATCCGAGGGGAATTCAGCACGGAAAAAAAAAGAAAAAAAAGGGGTATTGCAGACAAGACTTCATGGAGTCGGTTTTGCGGCGATTCG